TTTTTTTTTTTAACTTCTCTTTAAAGATGAAATTTCTCATTTTCCTCGGAAATTGCCCATTGTCATTAGGAATTAGTTTTCAAAACAAGTTAAGTTGTCTTTTTAGACGTATGACTATCGGTTTAATTGATGACTTTATAAAATAGAGTTTGTGCATATAAGTTTAAACGTCGCGTGTTACAAAGGCTAAGCGTAACCGGTTTTTAGTACTATAGAACATAACGCCGTATTTTATTTTTACCCAGGCAGGTCAATACTAGTAACAAAATATTTGATTAATAAAAGTGACTGTATGTACGACCCACCTCGATCATAGCTCTTTGGCTCGGTGGCTCTACCTGTTGACCAGGCACCAAATTTCGTTTGGATGTAGTAGGCTTTCGCCTCGCTCGTAGGCATAACGACAGGAACAAAATTAACAAACCCCCCACGCACCCTATTGCTACCAACAGCCATAGCTCAATTTCGTCCAGTAAAGCGGATAGGAACATCCTGATGGTCACATTTTTTGTTTAAATCTCATTTCTGCTGCACACTGACGAACAGCGTCATAATGGTGATCGGTTTCACGCGTGCAGCTGCACTTTGGAAGCGCGGGGTTTGGTGACAAATTGAGACCTTCTGCAGTGGTGCTCGGAAAACTACTTGAACAGGTAATAAAACGATAATAACTTGAAGAAGGACATGAAAATATATGTTATTGATTGATTTTATACTTAGGTTAGTGTTAATTTGTTTTCCATTAGGTCTTCTGTTTTAGTGATTACAGATCTGGGTAATGACGCGTCATAAGTATGGAATTTCTGCGCTCCTTTCTCAGACGTCATTTCTCGAGGAAACCAGTGGTGGCGTCGCGAAATGTCGGCTGTTTGCTAAGTCAGTACGTACGACTTTTGCAGTGCAACGGCTTACCTCAGACTCGGATTTCAATAGGCCATTTCCGAGTTCCCCCGGGCCTCTGTATCGAAACGAAGTTAAGTGCTCAGCCTTTGATATGCAAATGATTTTTTATTCTCATGCAAACAAAACTCGTTTGTGCACTTGGCCTCATTTTGAAAGTGAGGGTTTTTGGAACTAGGAAGTGGCCTATTTGCTACCATAAACATTTGTCCTCACGCGCGTCTTACAGAGTAGTCAGAGTACGTTTTACGCATCGTCGCGAAATATAAACTACTCTCTAGCTTTGTACTTTATAACTTTTTAAGACTATGGCGGTAGCGAATTGTAAAATTCAGTTAAAAAAAAAAAAATCGGAAACCAACGCTTTTTAAGGGAGAGAAGGGCTGGGTAAGTAAATTTTGTTTTTGACCTTTTCCAAAATCGTTTTTTGCAGTTCACTAGCCGGTTTTTTGTATGGCTCGTGGTCTGGATGCCTTTTTCTATAGTTTTACCGGTATAATAAACCATAGGTTTTTGATCAATTACCGTAAAATTCCGAAAATAAGCCGCTCCATGTATAAGCCCCTCCAAATATAAGCCCCCAAAAATCGTAACGCAAAAAACGCTCCGTTAAATCGCCCTTCCGAATATAAGCCCTGCGTGGGGCTTGTACTTGGAATTTGCCCTCGAATACAAAGTAAAACAAAGCAAAAGTGGTAAATTTCCTTCCCACTACAAGCTAGCCTAATTGATTTTGAAACGCAAACTTCCCTACGTACATATATAAGCCCCTCCGAATATAGGCCATCCCTGAAAAAGGCCTTTGAAAAATACAAGCCCAGGGGCTTACTTTCGGAATCTTACAGGAGTTCGGGCGTAATATCTCAGTTAGCTATAGTTTAGCTATAGCCTTGGACGTTGTGGTCGGAAAGGTAAAATCACCTCCATGACAGCGGTGATTCTACCTCTCAAATGCCGGGTGCTCGGTCCGTACCGGCTATGACACGCTGTGTCATGATGATTTAAGGCACTTGAACTGAACAAGAAAAGCGAGGATCTATACGTTACAACTTACTGTACGAACCAAGAGAGATAAGAATCTCTCTGAGGTGGATCGGGTGCGCGGGAAATGGAGAGGGCCGTGGTAGAATATGGCCCGCAGAATTGACCAATAACAGCGCGCTTACCGGGTGACAGATTTTTGTCACGTTCGCTGAGAGGAAGAGTTCACTAAAATAGAGTACTAAAGTGACGACGCCATAAAAACGAAATTTCTGAAATTATGGGATTTGTCAGGATATTCTGAAAGAACAATGTCCAAGAGGTCTACTTGCTAAAAATGAGCATTTCGCGGCAAATTGTCTCTGAGATGTTAGCTGGTTATACTCAGAAAACTCCATACAAACCCTTCTAATTTTTTGTTGGGTCGACCCCAAAAGAATTTAGGAGGGTTTGTATGGAGTTTTCTAAGCATAACTGGGCTACGATCTCAGGGACAATTTGCCCCGAAATGCTCATTGTTGGCAAGTAGGCCTCTTGGACATTTTTCTTCTTTTAGAATATCCTGACAAATCCCATAATTTCAGAAATTTCACTTTTATGACGTCATCACTTTAGTACTCTATGGACCTATGACCGGTTTCGCCAGTCTACATCATGTGCAACAAGATTGCACAGAACAGGCACGACGAACCGTTCTTTACGATGAACACTCCTCGCTGTGAAGTGACCACGTCTACAAATTTGGGACAAATAAGAGCTTCCTCTCCGCCGACTCGAGAGCTTACTTGCACGTTAGTTTGTGGCCAAAAATCCAAGCATTCGCCTGAAGATGAAGACTTGGACTTTCTACAGGAGGCCCAAGTATTAAAGACTGAACCGACGATGAGGCGGAACCACAGGGCAGACATGCTCTTTCTAAGGCTTGGTTACTGGTTTAGAGGCCTGGTTACCGCAGTATGCTTCAAGGGCGAAATTTCAGCCAGCATCATGCGAGCATAATTTTCGGCATGATGGTACGACTTTTAGGGTGACGCTAAAAAGCATAACGGTCAAATTTACGAGCATTATGTGTCTAACCCTAAAAGTTGCCTTAGCCAACAAGAAATAACATGACAATCAAGCCAACTCATTGGCAGCCTTTTGACGGTCTTTATTGTCACACAGTGTCATTTACTACCTTATATGAGAAGTTGTTTAGGTACAACCATATTATCTTAATACCACTGTACTGTTACAATATTTTTCATTCCACAAGTTCAGTTTTGCATTTGCAAATCGGAAGTCCAGCCGATTATGACGGTATTCGGATGGCCGTAACCTTATAAGATGGACTTTGGAATGTTGAGTCACCGCAAGTCATCGGAGAGTTAAGATCATTCGAATTCGTGGACTTATTTTAAAATGATCTTGAATTTTATTCGATTTTTCAGCAATCACGCTTTCACACCACATCTCAAGTTATACTTTTTCAGAAACAATGAAAGAAAATGCTCTTCATGAAACACGACTCTCTTTAAATTAACTGAAATCAATTGTTTGTGTCCCCAATTAGTTGTGAAAACTTAATCCATTGACCCATTAATAAAGCTGCTGCTTATTATTACCAGAGAAATCTAATGTTTTCGGATGTTACGAAGCTCTTTGAACGAGTTCTTTTTCTAGATGAATCACTCAGACAACTTCCCACCCCCAAAATTGATAGAGACCCTCTTGGTACGGAATGATTTCCAGTTCTTCCCTGTTTGCAGAGTATTTTCCATCTCCTACGGGAGTATTTCTCGTGCGAACGAACACTCAGTTGGCCGAGTGTTTGTGTTCGCCATCTTTGATTTTGGAAAAAGCCAAAGATTGAGGAAAGTAGAACGAAACAAAGGAGTGGAAGAAGGCGTCCCCTGCAGTATATTCGGGAGTTTGTAAGATACCAGGAGGGTGACACTGGCGAAAACGTCCCTAAACAGTGACTTCGCCTTATTTGGAAACTTCAGCGCGTGCGATTATCGCAACTTGCTCACTTTGTCAAATATAGGCGAACTCTCTTGGAGTTGAATTGACAAGAAAAATGTCCAAGTTCAAAAAGAGAAAGATAAATTCGTCGTTTGTTTATGTTCTGCACACACAAAAAAGTGTACTGCACGTCCACGTCCGGTTTTTAATGCGGTCTTTGTCGCGCAAAATACCACTTTTACTGATTTCAAAAGTTTGTATTGACCGTTATCAAGGTAATATAAATTTTGCCAAAGCAACATTTTACTAAACGTCAATCGCATTCCAAGCACTCAAAGGCGATCAGCCTTGAAACCAAGACCTTTCTTGTTCACTTGCTACGGACTGTCGGCAAAAATAACTCAGTAAATCAGGCTAAGATATTTTTGTTTTGGTTTTTGGTTCTGATTATTAAATGTAGGTATCCAAAGTTGCGTTGAGGCAGATTCATTTAGAACCAGACTTCAACTGACTGCACAAAGGAAATGTCACTGCTTTGCCTTGTGATTGACAGAAAATAACCCTGCCTCTTTCTCAGCCAATGGCGACGCTCGCTGTCGCTTGTTTTCTCTCCCTTTATTTCAGCCTCCGGTATTCGCTGCGGGAGCCGATTGGTTCATTTGAAAATCCGTGTCTGGTGTGATGGGCGTAGACAACTTAAATTTGTCGCTATGACGCTCAGTGCAAACCGTTGTAATAAGGAAGTGTCCAGTTTTGCAGACATGAAGTAAAACGGGATTGTTTATACCGAGGGTGAAAATTAAGTCACAAATCGAGTCCTGGCCACCCACTCACACGTCAGTCGACCTTATTTCTGAAGGTGGAGGTGCTATTGCGATTTGTCTCCTTCTAAATGTCGTCAACCCTACCGCGGATTGCTTCAGTTAAACTCCTGATCTCTTATCACAACTCTTGAGTTTCCTTTCTTTTTCCCAGTTCAGGCTGTTAGAAGGTGATAAGATCAACAAGATTGCCTTTTGGCTGTGTCATGTGCTCCGGGAAGAAAGACACCAGGGTATCGAACAGCTGCAACAGGAAAAAGAAGAGAACTTTTCAGGGTCGGTAATGAATTTTTACAGTAAATTTTAAGTTGTGTCGATAGAAACCTATAAACACTTGCTTCTTTGTTGTTACTTTTTTTTTGCCTTTTTAAAAGTTGCAGTGCCGGGAATATGATTGATCAAAACAATCCATTAGGATGTACGTTTTTCAGATTCGCGGATTTTTTCGACTAGAAACCAGTCTCGATATGATTAATTCATACTTGGCTCCGAGGCTTGGAAGGAAAAAAAAAACACACAAACAAATAAAGAAATCAGTTTCAGGCTCAGGTTCAGGGATGAAATATGAACGGCTCCACGTATGAATTGAAATAAGACTGATGATAGACCTTTTGACCAGGCCATTTCCGAATTGCCCCAAGCCTCAGCTTCAAAGCGAGGCTAAGTGCGAAACCATTGATATGAAAATTCTCATGTAATATTCTCATGCAAATAGAGCTCATTTTCATAAGGAAGGCTTTACACTTAGCCCCTCGTTTTGAAAGTGAAAGTTTACGAACACGGAAATCGTCTATACTGCGGCCTTATTGAAGTAAACGAATTTCTATAATGGGATGTCCAAGACGGCACCGGTGTGTATATTTCCATACAACCCGTTAATTTCAAAGTTTGTTCCACAAAGGACTCCAATGAGAGAAGCGGTAATTTTTTTTTTTTGTAAAATTATTTGCCGAAGCTACCAACGACAAATTGAAGTATAGTTCTAACAAAAAGCAGCAGAACCATGAGAGACGTCTTCTTTCGGTGTTCCAAGGGTTAATTTTATTTCACACTACGATTTTTCTCAGTGGATTCAAGCGCGGATTGTACTGCTGTACACACTTTGGAGCATTTTCTGTACTGATCTGTAGCCCGCGAAAAGGCAGCTCGCAGTCTTCCCTACATGCACTGCTGGCAGAGATGCGATAGGGCAGACTAGTATGAGACAGGTAAGCGGCGTAAACGACTTCGTATGTATGCTAAAAAACTGCTGCATGGTAGATCTGCCACGGTTTCCCATCTGCTCTTCGCCTTTTTTCTCACTAGTGACCAAGAATAGAGAATCAAAAACAGGGTAAATGTTTAGTCCTTACCTGAGTTCGTCCTGTAAAACCATCACTGGGAGGCGAAAGAGGCTCTGAAAGAAAATGGGAGAGAGAAGGGGAACAAATTCGAGCAATCACAAACACCACATTCCATTATCTTGCATTTCCTGAGGTTAATTTACTATAAATTAGGGGATGGTCACATGTTAGGTCCTGTGAACGTCCAATCTCACTACGAAAGCGAGAGAATTTTTCTATAGAGCATGTACCTTGTAGTGAATCCATCATCGATTTTAGTCAAAAATGAAGGAAAATTTTGAACAATTCGATAATCGATAATGCATCCGCATAGTCGATTACCATAAAATTTACTTTGTGAAAAGTTCACTGGACGTACAAGTGAAAACACTGAAATATCTGCTGTTCTAGTTTCCTGACTCGTATAGCCGCAAACTTTATAGTCCGTTGAATATACCTTACATATGCTTTTCTGACAACACCCCTAACAGTAAGTTTCATATATTGAACAATGCTGTTTCAGTGCTATAAACAAAACAGCATTTGAAAATTTATTGAGGTGAACCTCAGTTCCTTCCAGGCTCCTCTCTAAGCCTCAGAGTCACACCCTGTTTACGCAAGACGGTAACGTGGAGAAGTTGTATTCGATTATACTTGAAAATTAAACAGTTTGGACAAAATTTATTTAGCTACTTCCGATAATGGATCATGTAACGTTTACCAGTTCTAGCTGAACACTACAAAGAATCATGTACCTGAATCCGTTATATCTATTGAGGCTGGATGTGAAAACAGGCTGGATGCAAGAAGACGGAACTGGAAAGTAACAAGCATGACCTTATAAATACACCTCTTCAAAATGATGTCATAGATTACTAAAAATATTATATTTTTACTTGACAGAAACACCGTCGCATGAAAATCGCAATCTACAGCAGATCGTCATCGTAACTACACTAAGTACAAGGCAGATAACTTTCTTTGGGCCAATAATCAGTGGTTTCGGTACCTTGCCGACTATTTTGGTTTTACGGTTTGTATAATAAGCAGAAAAATTTAAGTAATTAATTGATTCACTTATTTATTTTCCGGTATCCTGGGAACTACCTGTAAATGAAGCCAACTTCACTTCTCTAGCTACAGTGGAGGTTAGAAGTGTTAAGACACACAACGAGATGTTAGTTAAACTGGCTAATTAAACGTTCCCGCTCTCACAAATAATGTTGAACTTTGAGCAAGATAGGTGTTCCCTGGGTATCATCTTTTTTTTTTACACGCGGCGGGATAATTTGAAACCGAAAATGCTCTGGCACTCAGAATGAGACAGACGCCAATTAGTTAGTTTGTTTTTGTGGCACAACATTGCCCGGAAGAGATAGGGGGTCAAAAGATGTTAGTCAGTTTTTAAAAGAAGAGAGCCGTTTGTAATAATTACTTGGAACAGTTTCCATAGCCGTTCTAACTTCTTTTGGCCTCTACTGCAGCTGCATCGTCTTAACTTCGCTGGGACTGTGGTGCATTTACCGCGTGACCTCAGAAAGAAACGTTTCCAAACTGGTAGCCAAGTCAATGAACTGACAATTTAGGAAAATTAAAATTTTACCCAAAATAGAAAGAGGGAGCTTAATACCTCTTGGCTTTCCTCTATGTCATCGTGAGCAACTGTCTCTGAAAGTTCATGCTACAGAAAAGACATAATAAATATTGTAACCTTTTAAGAAAGAGCAACACTCAATCATCACTCAACTATTGCAGCATGGTACTGTTTAATTTTTAGCCCGAGAAAAAAGACCCCATTTGGCGACGCCACCACTGCTTTCCCCGTGAAATGACGTCTGAGAAACGAGCGCAGAAATTCCTCATCCATGATGACGTGTCACTACCCAGATCTGGGAAGTGTTTTTACTTGGTTAAAAATTTGCTTCATCCAATCGGAACGTGAACGACTACCCAGATACCAGNAAAAGACCCCATTTGGCGACGCCACCACTGCTTTCCCCGTGAAATGACGTCTGAGAAACGAGCGCAGAAATTCCTCATCCATGATGACGTGTCACTACCCAGATCTGGGAAGTGTTTTTACTTGGTTAAAAATTTGCTTCATCCAATCGGAACGTGAACGACTACCCAGATACCAGATCTAGATCCGGGTAGTGACGCGTCATCAGTATCGAATTACTGCGCTCTTTCCTCAGGCGTCATCTCGCGGGGAAGCCAGTGGTGGTGTCGCGAACTGTCACCTGCCCAGGGAGGGAAGGAGAGAAGGAGGGCGGGTTCTCTGGCTATTTGATGCTCCGTGAAGAAGAGAATGGGTAAAATGATCAACTAAACATTCACAAAATACGAGAAGTGATGAAGGATAAAGCAAATGATGTTTTACCTGCAAGTAACGGAGAGCTTCAAACGGATCACGAGATGCCATTTCACGAAATCTACAACAGACGACCGTTATACGTCACAAATGTGATAGCGTTCCATATAATTAAGTTGAAACTAAAATTTAAAAAAAACATTGCGATGAAAACACTAATAGACGACAAGGTACCTTTGCTTGCGTATTAAATATCGACATCTTCGTAACAAGTGCTCCCTTGAAGGTCTTGATAACTGCGAACACAAAAATATAATGGATATAGACCTTCCTGAACTCAATATTGTCCCAAAAAATAGTGCTTCAAGTCCATTTTCTACTGCAAACATTTTGACTTGAAGCAAGTTCAGCCGAATCTCTACAAGTATGGTGCGGCCACCCTAACGAAAGAAAAAAGGTCCTTAAAAAAGGTTGGCCGCTTAAGAGGTTCTGTCGACAGTGATTTCCCACCGGACACTTTAATCAGCCACGACTATGGTAACTGGCCGCTAAACAGAGGATGGCATCTTAATAGAGGTTCGGCTGTAATGGCCAACGCATCCAGGTAGCTATCATTATTCTTGTGTGTCCGGTTGAGTACTGAAGCCGGCAAAACGATCTTTTTTTCGTTGTTCAGACGCCATTTGTGGATTAGGAAGAGAACCTCCATGCATAATTCTAGGGAAGTCTACATATCATTATGGTAGAATTTTTGTGATACACTTACTGCACCTTTAAAAAAGGCTATGTGACAAGCATAAATTGTAAAGCCGGAAAGATAGAGAGCATTACGTACATATATACCTTTAAAGACCAGAAGTCATCTAGCCTCATCTTGGGTAGGCTGGATTTACCAGGATTGCCTCCAAACAGATAATGAACCTTATGAAGGTGATCATAAACCAGCTGATGAGCAAACCGTGGACAGGGCTCAACATTTTGCATCTTCGTCCAATACTGCTGGCCCATGTTTTCATTCTTGTAAACGCAAGACCTGCACAGCAGAATGTTTGATCAGTATCGACAAGCTCGTTGACTCTGAACCGTGGGATTGTAGAAAAAAACGGACGCCTCTAACTCCTTTTCCTTGTTATTGAAATACGCCAAAATCATATCAAGACCCTGGTCATATTCTGAGAGCCCACTGTTTGAAAGGCTGCCTGGTTCAGCAATCCTGCACATCACTAGCCTACGTGGCAGGCGTTAAAAGGGGAAGGGGAAGGGGGAATTTGGGCGCGCGAGGGAGAAAAGAAAGAAAGGCCTGCAAGGACGCCATTGTTTTCTCCATTTTTCACGCTCACAAAAATAGTGATTGGTCAGAATTAATTAAATGTCAATCTTCGACTTGATACCTTTTACCGACTGGTTGAAATCAACATCACGCCATTTGAGTTACTAAACGTATGTCGTTAGTGAAGTGTGATGAGATTTCTCTAAAGAAGGAGAATAGAAAAAAGCAGCTAAAGAATCATGTGAAGGAAAAGGCCTGTCAGCAGATGAGTTTTACTGACTGGTTCTGAAAAGTATCATCTCCTAACGGCTTATCGATTTTACTCGCCAGAAGAAAGAAAGGAAAAATCATGCTGCCTGTGTGCTTGTTATCTGCTGTTTGACCCGCGTTAACAACGGCAAGATAATTGAAGACGAAGCGATCTATAACTTTTGGCGATTTTTGGTTGAGGATATCTTCTTGCCGGTTATAAAACCACCAGGAACTTAGTTTAATAATAAATTGTTGCTTTCTTGCAGATCTTCGAAGTTCAGCTCTTCTTTCTCCGCCACCTGCGTTCTTTTGTGTGCTCCGCTGGATCCAACTCGTCCTCATAGAAATTCAAAGAGTGCGTGACGGCAAAGTGTTGTAATTTTTCTTGGACAAATATTGCATTGAAAGTTGCAAAGAGCCGCTACATTTCGTATTACAAATAGTTTTCTAGCCCGATTCCTTCAGTAACAACTTGAATAGATTTATGCTGGATTATGCTGCAACTTTCAAGGAAGATTCCGTCAATGGACGACCGCATTTGAACTTTTTTTATAGTACCTTTACTTTAGATTTCTTGTTTTCGGAAAGCAAAAGAAAAACAGTGCGAGAAATACGTCTAGAATACGTCCATCGCGGCCAGACTTACCTGACAGCTAGTCATTCACAGTTGCGTTTTTTTTTTTGTTATTTTTTTAATTAGTAGGCGGGATGGCGAAAACAATGGCTTCCTTGCAGGCGTTCCCCTCCTCCCTCCTGCGTGGTCTCGCGCCCTAATTCCCTTCCCCTTCCCTTTCGAACGCCTTTATTTATTTAGCTTCGCCTAACTAGATTACAATCTTTATACACGAATACATCACCATCCATTTGAGACTGGAATTAAGACCAGCCAAAGAGATGATTCTGTGGACTGCTGGTGGGACATTGAGGAGCCAGCTGACCTAAGTTCACCATCAGTATCAGTTGTGAAAAGCTAGTTTTGACTTATTTGTGTTTGTTCGAATTCATAATGATCTCAGTGCCACTCTACGTTTCAGGGCTATTATAACAACTTGAGTTCACGAATTAATAACACCTACCAAATTTTACGCTCCAGATTGAAAACCCAAAAAGAATTCCTAACTGTCTCTTCACGTTTCTCTTTATCCTTGCTCAGACCCTACAAAGAAAAACAAGAAAAGTTTGCCTTTTACAGAAGGCAAAAATTATAAACTCGACATACAGCTGTACTGTCACAGGATTCTCCTTAAACTTCTAAACAGACCTCAGATTAGACGCCCCCTGCTGGCTAGTAATGGACCTTAAATTAGACAGTGAAGTGACAAGTTTTTCAGCCCCATGGAAAAACCTGGAACTGGATTCCAAAAGGGATGGGTATCGAATTTCTCTAGATATTAAAGATCATAACTAAATCAAACGTGTCACGAGAATTTTGGAAATGATGAGACAAATCTGTCCTCTTTTGAAGAATCCCAGGTATTTGAACGTTTGTAAGATTAGAATATATTACAGAATCGGGAAAGACAGTACTTACAGATAATACATGGATTTCATTTAGTTCTGGATCGATTGTTGCCCTCTGAGTAAAGCCTTGAGCCGGTACTGGCGGAGAGAACACACGCATTAACTCGGTATCCTTTAAAACGGCCTGGGGCCAGTTTTTTGAAAGCCCCGGTAACCTTAAACCAGAAGCCATATAGCTGAAACCTAGGAAACAGCACTACAGGCCCTGATTGCAAGCCAGTCCGTTTAATTTCATCAACTTATAGTTTAAGTACATTACGTTCATAATTACTACAACCTCAACCTTTAATGTAAACATAGCATAGCTGTCTGGACAGGCAGCAGGTGGCGGCAGTAGCAGGAGAAGCAGTTTATATAATTATAAAAAATAGTAGTAGGGATAGTAGTCGAGGACATAAAGGTTATTATGCCTCTAATGAAGGCAAGCCTTAACAATATTATTGTGAAAGGTTTCCAAATCTTTATAATTGATTCCTACTGCTTGTGTGTAGATGTACTCTACCTTGGTTGTTTCCATCTAATACCAGTGATATTTCCTGTGTGTCCACATGATATGTGATAAAGTCACTACACAATCAACAAATAATAGTAAAATAANAAATAGTAGTAGGGATAGTAGTCGAGGACATAAAGGTTATTATGCCTCTAATGAAGGCAAGCCTTAACAATATTATTGTGAAAGGTTTCCAAATCTTTATAATTGATTCCTACTGCTTGTGTGTAGATGTACTCTACCTTGGTTGTTTCCATCTAATACCAGTGATATTTCCTGTGTGTCCACATGATATGTGATAAAGTCACTACACAATCAACAAATAATAGTAAAATAATGAAGTTAGGTACTGCCTCTCTAGATTTGTGACATATGATACTTATTAGAAAATTCATGGAATATTTGTTTGAAACTCACGCCTGGAAACAGCTCAACTTTGATAAAATTATGGTTACCCTATAAATAGCTTAGAACGGTAGGAATTGAATGAAATGTTTTCGTATGGGGAAGGTGTCGAAAGGCATGGCATATGAAGCAACAGTTCAAACAAGCTGTCTTCATGCCTAAAGATAAAGCTCTTTGTATCCATTTCACAGACACTCAAAATTTCTTTAACTTTTATTATGGTGTTTGGTGGGACAGTTTCTTAAAAAAAGTTGCAGCCCAGGGAATCACAAGCTTATTCGTCGCACAATGTAGGGCCAGTACTCAAATGAAAAAGTCTGGTTTGGCAGTGACACGTTTCATTTGCACTAAGTCATCCTCTCAAATAAGCCTCCTCCCTCTAATAAGCACCCCCTTTCTAGGGGAAGAAAGTTAATAAGCCCCCCCCGCCCCCAACTCCTCTGAAAAGCGTTGGGCCGAGAATTGAGTTCTGAGGTACGCCATGTGTGATAGTGAGTAGTTCTGACAATGAAGTTGCAACACGAGTGAACTGTTGTCTGTTTGTAAGGTAACTTTCGAACCATAGAGGAGTTTTGTTGGAGGTACCCAAATTCTGTAATTTACAGAGTTGAATGACTGTATTTTATAAGGGTTGAATGACGTAGGCTGTTGAAGGCTTTGCTTACGTCAATAAGCACCATTGCTGTAATTTGCTTTTTAACCTCTGCACTGAAGATGTGATCGCTTACTAGCAAGCTCAATGTTTCCGTGGAGTGGTGCTTCCGGTTTCCACTTTGGTGACAAGTGAGACGGTTTTTCTGAGTTAAGTGATGTTAAATTGAGCTAGGGCGATTCTCTCAGCTACTTTGGGGAGCACAGGCAGAAGAGAGATAGGCCGATTATTATTTTGAACTTCGTGATCTCCATCTTTAAGGTGAAGACCACTTCACCTTTCTTCCAGGCTCATGGAAAAATCGAGCAAGTAAATGAGTGGTTGATTATGCCAGTTATTGTCTGCAAAGTGTACTCGAGACAATCCTGTATTACTGAGATGGGCATCTTGTCATAACCTTGCGCCTTGTTAATTGCTTTAAGTGTGAACATAGCATTGGGGCTTAAATTACCTTAGAAACTCTCTTCCTCTTTGTCCAGCAAAGATATAAAGAAGCCTTTTATCCTGCAAGGATACATCAAATGAAAACATGCATTATTTGAAAATGTTCAGAAGAAATAATGAAGCTTATAATGACACTTAGTGTTACTCAGTACTTACAGAATGGAACAACATGGAATGGCCTATTCTGGATCGCAGCTCAGCGCAATCATCCCTGGAAATTATTGATAAATGTCAATATAACCGGCAAACTACCAGTAAAATGTACTACGTACATTACAAGTTAAAATACTGAAAAAGGCAGATTAGACAAATTTTAAGTATGTGTAATCAAAGGATGACGAGTGAAATTAGGGAATAATTTCACGCGCGTTTTGTCCAAATCCTAATAATTTCCCGAGCCTTTAAATTACTCCCTAATTTTACGAGTATCCCATTTGATTACCTATTAATATCATGGGTGACGAATTACGTTAGCACTCTTGGATTTTTGACATGTTTATTCTGGATCGTATTGATCGAGAACTCCACTCTCTCAAATGTTTAGACCTTAAATTAGGCTTATAAAGTTCAGAATTTTTCAGACTTTTTCGGCAAAATACCTGTTAGAAACCTTCTTGATGTTCTCTTGTGTGTTCAGGTTTTCTAAAGCGTCTTTTTGTGCCCTGACATCTTCATTCACGACATTTTAAAACTTCGTCGCCATCTTGACACTGAGACGTACGGAAGGTTGCCATGGCAATTTGTAATTTTGTAAATTAACGCTGAAATTTCGCGCCAAAATTAAGGAGTAATTCGTCACCAATGATATTAAGAATGAAAACTACACTTTAGAGAAATTACATCAGTTTGAATTGCTACAATCAAGCGTTCAATATTAATATTATTTTGCAGGCTAAGAATTTGAATTAACTTGTAGAGCATAAAAAGAAGTTTTATAAGAAAATAAGGGTGTTCAGAAATTGGAATCACACGGCATAGCAATATTATACCAAGAGGAATAAAACTGTTTACAAACTTAGGATGATTGAAAATCAGCTTAATTAAGCGACTCAAGATTCCATTCAAAGGATTTTGCATACTTTAGCCTTGTCCAGGTGTTTGTAGGGCAGTGATAGGAGTATAATCCACTAAAAACTGGCTCCTGTGCCCTCTCATCTCCACTCACACTAGGAGACAAAGAGACATAAAAATAATTAATAAAATAAGGCATTTTAAAATAAGATAACTTACGCTACCACCCTGACGTACCGAATTATTTTTTCTTGAAATGTCAACTACGGCATTTTAAAATAAGATAACTCATACCGAATAATTTTTTCTTGCAAGGACAAATATCTTAATCAGACTTCACTTTATGTTGCACTTTATTTCTTGATTTTTGAGAGCTCTGATTTGTAATTGCAGTGAAACCTCTATTAAGCGGACACCTTCGGGACCTACCCAAGTGTACCCCGCTTAATAGAGGGTGCCGCAATTTTTGTTAACGATTAACAGTCAACGGTTATGTACAGTGTACTGTGATAAAGTTCCACGTTGTTATTAAGGAAGCTAACGAAGCTGTGCTGTACTTTTTGCAAGACTTTAAGATGACCTTTGATCGCAGATGGCAATCATACGGCCGGATATCGGTCTAATTTACAGTTTTTTGACAGCTAAATGTATTGATTTATCTTTAATAAATAGACAACAGTACGTATTTCAAGGACATAATCCAATACTACTATTGTCAATTCAGTCCGGTGTCTGCTTGATAGAGGTTATTAACAATAGAAATTAGCCAAATACAATTTGTTTTAGCGCCCGCGTCCGCTTAATAGAGGTGTCCGCTGAATAGGGGTTCGTTATAAAGGGAAATATAAGACGTTGATTTCGGGACCCGGCTTGGTGTCCGTTTAATAGAGGGTATCCGCTTAATTGGGGGTCCGCTTAGGAGCTTAGTAGAGGTTTCACTGTACTGAGAACGAGCATGAGAAGATGTTATAATCCGTTTACTAACTCAAGATATCATAACATATTAATTGATTTAATAACAACTTGACAGCCGCAACATAATGTCCGACCATGGTTAAGGTTTTGTCGCACATGCGCAAAGTTTGGTCCACAACTGTCCAGTGGCCGATGGTAATTTGTAAGGCACATGTACATTTTTTTTTTTACGGTTTTAGAGAACCACGCACTTGAAATTCTGGCACTTCCGACGTACAATAAATAATAATACACAAACCAAAATTTATTTTTTTATTAACTAAATTCAATTCAACAAACTTGAGATAAATTGTTACTCAATTTAAGGCTGTTACACTGAACAACAGTACTAGAAGCAATAACAACAAAAATATTCAACAGGGGATAGTACATTTGCAGAGATTGGCAGTTTCATGAAATAAACATTTACCATTTAGGGTTATTTTAAGAACAATGTAAGCGTGTCAGTTCCAACAATTTTTAAATTGATAAAAGCTCTACTGGAAAAAAATGCAGTTTGATTGAGAGATTTCCTCTCCCAAGACAATCATGAATAACTTTGGTTCCTGTAGGTAGGGTGGATGTTATAAAGGATAGTTCAGGGATTATTTTGTTCCTACATTATCAGGTGCTATATATATATATCATGCCCCATATAGCAAGTACCTTACCGTTACAGCAACCTTTGAGTGACACATTAGGTTATTCTCGTGAAAGGCCAGAATGTATATAGCCTTACCTCGTTAATACACGGCCACCAAATACATAAATAGTGCTCTTCTCTACATCCATACACATCTGCAAAAAAAATGACATGCTCCTCAGGGATCAAGGTCCATTTTTCATCCTCAAATGTAACAATGAGAATTATCTGCACTTGATGTTATGTTAGTGTGTTAGTGAGTAAAAACTGCATTTATACAAGGTAGTTTTACCAAATAAAAATTTACAATAAAGTATCTGTTCTTCCTAAAAGCCGCCCTTAACACACGAAAATATATCTATACCTAAAACTTAACTAAGACCCTGTTTACATGGAGTGGGGGACCCCGGTTTAGTGGGGTAGGTTTCTTTTGTTTTGTGCCCCCCAGAGCGTGAAAACAGAAGAAACCAACCCCACTAGACCGGGGTCCCCCACTCCATGTAAACAGGCCCTAAGAAGAGATCGCACAATAATATAAACTAAGAAAGAAGAAAATTTACAAAGCTTGTGTAGATAGTATGACTTGTATGACCTGATCTTAGCTTTTAGTTTATTAGATTTCCAATATGTTCAGCCACTTGTTAAGGTGTTTCCATCACTTAGCTCCATTTAAGTACAAGTTTATCATAAGTTGATCAAGTGAAGTCCAGAATTAATTTATGTGTGATATCACATACTTTTGAGACAACAGAAAAAGTGAAGGTTTTGAAGCCACGGAGAAAATGTTTTGTGATCTAACATGTGGTTTTAACGCCGTTTTAGCTTGCAGAGAAACCTAGTAAGCAGGGCTTGAAAAAAGTCCCCTCAGGTAATCCGGGACAAGTAGATATTGTTGCTGGGCACGTAAACTTTTACACGTTTAATTTACAAGTGTAGCCATTGTTTTAAAGTCTGAGAACAATAGCTATACTTGTAACTTACACGTGTAAAAGTTTCATTAAATTGACCCCTGCATGCCCTGCATAAGGTAAATTTGTTCGATAGAGAGAATTGCATCCATTCTTAATTTTTTCCAACAAAACGAGGAAACTGTCTGTTGACAGCAATTGCGTGTGAGCAGAAACTATTAAAGTAAGCTGGAAGCTACAATCGGCAACAAAATTAGTTGAGACAACTAGCCGTAAAGGCCTCTCTAACATTTCACCAACTCAAAAAAGAGAAAATAAAGCTTTCCTTCCCCTACCTGCTCCATGCAATGTTCTGTCACTGAGCTACCTGAAGAACAAACCAACTTTGAATAGAGGGAGAGGGGAGGAGTGTGGATTATTTTGTTCCCTGAAGTTTAACCTCATTTGTGGACAATGTCTCAACAATTTTGTTGCTGGCTGGGTTTAATTTAAGTTTCTGGGAAACTGCTCACCTACCCCTCCCATAAGCCATCATTTTGCCCAAAGTGAGACGTACGTGCTAATGTTAGCTGAAGGGAGGGGTAGGTGGGCAGTTTCCCACAACTCTAAATTGATCCACCAATTGTAGCTTCATGTAGATATATCCTTAAAGTTTACCTAGTCTCAAGTGCTCAAAAAAGTATTTCTTTGACAAAAAAATCTCAAAAAATTTAATCACAATTCATGACTAGTAATTACCTGATGGTCAAAGATGAGAGGAGGGCCTCCTTCAGTAGAGGTATCCTGACTGATAAGAGTCCACTGATTTGAAGTTATATCATAAACATAAAAATCATTCTACAGAGAGACAAAAGATCAAAACTCTGACTCATACTGGAAAAACCCTGAATGATATGTGAATCCTTAGTGCTCCTGGAGTAAGTGCTCTTATTCATTTCTCTTTCTGTTATGAAAAATTATTATGTATTGTGAACTTTACAAGCAGGTGTAAATTCGGGCTTTTTTAGTAACTTCTTTATTCTTAAGAGGGTCTATGGAGGGTGTGTTCAATCAATCACATACTGGAACAAGAATATGCTACATATCAGAAAATTTTATTTCAAGGAGATTTCTAGATGTCACAATGCAATGAATCCCAAAATAAGTGATTTCTATGTTTTCTTTTTCTCCTGAATAGGCTTATGGTTTCAAACCATCAGCAGCAGCATTCCCATCTCTGAACTCCCATCAAGACAACCTCCCCTCCCCCATTTGCCTCCTGCCCCAAATGCAAAAAACTAAAGAAAAATATTATGTAGGCACCTACTTCAAAAACTGCCAGATTTGGGAAAAACATGGGTAACCCCTACTCACTGTAGCTGTACTGATTCCCATTATCTCCCCCTCACTATCTGTATCTGTTTGTAGCATCATTCAATGAGTTACTTCAAGTCTCGTAGCGGAGGGATGCACACTTGTTTTCAGTAATAAAGTAAGTTGTATATTTACACTGTATAATCAAGATACATGCTATATGATTATAGTATGATTATACTACCTTAAGTGGTGTTGAACTTCTCATTTCAGAGTCAAGATATCTTCCCAAGGTATATATCAACTTCTTTTTACTGTCCAAACACATCTTATGGCAGGACCTTGCACATGGCCCACCATCCTGCTCAGTGTTGCGTGACAAACAAGTCCACAGCCCAGATTCCACACTGAATGCCCAAAAGTCTGATAGGTCTACCATTCCATCCCAGCCTCCAATCAGATAAATGACTTGAGTTTCCATGTCAATTAACATCTGATGTCCTCCCCTCATACCTGGACGTGAACTCACAGGGTCCGCATCTGCACAAGAGTAGAAATAACGGCTAATAAAAGCCAATCACAATAGCCCATTCCTGAGCTACCCCAAGCCGAGCCTCTGGATATTAGAACAATGTCTTGGAGATAATAAATTATCTCAATTTCCTTTGTCTCCTAGTCTTAACTGTTCATAAATTAGGGCTAGGAGACAATGAAAATTGAGAACCAACCTAGGTTAAAACATTTTATGACCTGAACTTAAGTGTGACCTGTAACAACAATATTAAAAAAATAATAGTTATTATAACATAGCTACAAAATTCACCTAATCAAATTAAATAGTGCAAGCATGCTACATATTCCCATTGAGCACACTGATGACCTCAATGAACTATTCCTCAAGTTGTTGTGAGCTTAGCAATCCTCCCAAGATGTCTCCCAAGTGCATCCATAACTCAGCAGTACGCGATGAAGCGTTTGCCATTTGTTTTATAAGGTAATTTAAGAGAAAACTCTTGAATTTGTTAACCGATAGTAGGGAAAAGAGGTGAGTGTTGTTGTTGCAGTTGTTGTCATCTTTGTGAGCTGTGTGGGTTATGGTGGTGGCAAATCATTCTTTAAACAGTTGTTTCTCTCAAAAATACTTTTAAGTGAATTAATAGTTTTCTGGCACCTCAAAACCGATTTTACAATATTTTTTAGAGTACACTTTCTCTCAGTTTCTCGTAAAAACATAAGCTTAACTGCGAGGGAAAAAAAAATAGTCACGTAAGGGACTGGTAAAAAAGTATAGGGGGGGTGGGCCGGAGCATTTGGAAATGTGGTTGATAAAAAACACATGACCCATCCCTTCCCTTCGGCACAAAAATGACTGACCCACCCCTAAAGCAAGGTTGCAAATTGCATGACCCACCCCCTAGTTAAAACATGGATGTTTGGTTTCCTCTAAGGCCATCCCCTTTTTTCTCTTCGTTTACCGTCGAATGCGTTTCCTGATATTGGGTCGGTCGGTCGGATTGAAAAAAAAAAAACTTAAAAAAAAATCACAAGAAGTGTCGGAATAGTGGGCCCTGGTACCCCAGGACGACGTTAAAAGTTAACATTCACATATTTGGATTAACAAAATGTAAAATATACTGTGAAAAATGTTCATGTTTTTGTTCTTGTTTTTCTCTGTGCTGTTGCTATGCTCATTTTTCAGATTAAAAGAATTATTTCAAGTGAAAAATGGTGTAACTATGTCGTTACTTTTTTTTTAAAAATGCCAAAAATTTGGGTCGGTCGGACGACGGTAAACGGAGAAAAAAAAGAGGATGGCCTAACCTTGTTCTGTGCTTGACAAAATTTGTTGATACACTGCTACAACCAATATCAAAATCACAGAAATCATACCTTTCACTGAAAAGACAAATGTGAAAAACCGAACATTTCTTGTTTCGATGGACGTTATGAGTCTTGACACAAATATACAGCAAAATGAGGGTATATTGAAATTGTCTGTCAACGCATATGAAAATTTCTACAAAGACAACCCATTCCTACACATTACTTGCCGGAAATTCTTAGATTAATCCTCAAAGAAAATTTCTCCCACTTCAATGGAAAGCACTACCTACAAAACCATGGAACTGTAATGGGCACAAAGACAGCAGTTTTGATTCCTTTGCCAATAGTTTCATGACATATATTGAAACAACAACTCTAAGCAAAACTGTCTTTAGAACAATAGTTTGGAAATGCTACGTACACGATATAGGGACATGAGTAAACCAGACATTGAAGCCTTCATTGAACAAGCAAACTTACATCACCCAACTATTAAATTCATGGCCGAAACATTTGACACTGAGGTGCAGCATTTTTAGACACGGTTGTATACAAAGGCACGCACAAGATTCAAGAAAAAATCTATCCTTGATGCAAAGACACATTTTAAACAAACGGAAACCTTCTTGCACACACATTTCACCTGGTGTCACCCTCCAAGTGATCCAAAAAGGATTTGTCAAAGGAGAAGCCTTGAGAATCCTACGAAAAAACTCCTCAGAAACAACCTTTGAGGGAGATAATTCAAATTAAAGAAAAAAAAGGCTTGATGGACGGAGGCTACCCACAAAATTTGTTAGAAGACCTACTATCAGAAATAAAATTCACAAAAACGAGTCTAAACTCCTAAAACAAAAGCTTCAAGGAGGAAAAAGATTTATTGCCATTTGTGACACAATACCAGCCCTCGGTGTTTATTATAAAGGAAGCTTGAATCTTATACAAAACCAACCGTAACTTAAATAACTTTTTAAAGAACCACCAATCATTTCCTTACAAAAAAGGAAAATCATTAAAGGACATGCTCGTTAGAGCCAAAAAAAAAAAAGGTTAACAAAGGGTTCACGGGATGTGCGGTCTGTCANACAATAGTTTGGAAATGCTACGTACACGATATAGGGACATGAGTAAACCAGACATTGAAGCCTTCATTGAACAAGCAAACTTACATCACCCAACTATTAAATTCATGGCCGAAACATTTGACACTGAGGTGCAGCATTTTTAGACACGGTTGTATACAAAGGCACGCACAAGATTCAAGAAAAAATCTATCCTTGATGCAAAGACACATTTTAAACAAACGGAAACCTTCTTGCACACACATTTCACCTGGTGTCACCCTCCAAGTGATCCAAAAAGGATTTGTCAAAGGAGAAGCCTTGAGAATCCTACGAAAAAACTCCTCAGAAACAACCTTTGAGGGAGATAATTCAAATTAAAGAAAAAAAAGGCTTGATGGACGGAGGCTACCCACAAAATTTGTTAGAAGACCTACTATCAGAAATAAAATTCACAAAAACGAGTCTAAACTCCTAAAACAAAAGCTTCAAGGAGGAAAAAGATTTATTGCCATTTGTGACACAATACCAGCCCTCGGTGTTTATTATAAAGGAAGCTTGAATCTTATACAAAACCAACCGTAACTTAAATAACTTTTTAAAGAACCACCAATCATTTCCTTACAAAAAAGGAAAATCATTAAAGGACATGCTCGTTAGAGCCAAAAAAAAAAAAGGTTAACAAAGGGTTCACGGGATGTGCGGCCTGTCACCTGTTGCATTTTCTTGCACAACAGGTTTGTGAGTATTTTAGCCATAATTCCAGCTGCCTGCGTTTTATATAACAAGTGTGGTCAACTGTCTCATTAGTAGTTAGTGCTTATCTATGTAATAAAATAGGGTGACCCACCCCCTAAGGTCAGCTGCAAATTGCACGACCCACCCCTTACGCAAGGCTCAAAACCTCATGACCCACCCCCTCTCTGCTCCGGCCCACCCCCATCCCCCTATACTTTTTGACCAGTCCCTAAGTAGACATTGATGTGTTCTGCTTTGAGCGCATGCTACGTACAATAATAATATTTTAAGTTAACTGCTGCATTGATCACTTTGGTGATGTTATAAAACAATAATTGGTTCATGCTTCAGCAGTGCATATGTTGAGATATTGAGCACATGGGAAGTTTAGAGAGCATTCAAGAGGCTAGAGTTGCTCTCTGCTGTGCCTTAAGCAACTCTCATGCCTCTTTCGTGCTCTCCAAACTTCCTGCATACTCAATATCCCGACATACAAATGCTGATGCATGAACTAATTGTTATTTTTATAATAATTAATAAATACATAAAAATAGAAATAACAAGATATAAAACATTAACTCTAATATATATTAAACCATCATTAATAAATTTCCTAAAAATGTAGGTCTTTGTTTTTTTTTTAAAGTACAAACACTGTTTGATTTACAAATGCCAAAGTGAATACTGTTCCACAGGCTAGGGGCACATGTGAAAAATGCCCTATCGCCATATGATTAGGTATTGGATTTTTGTTGCAAAAGAAGTCCTAAAAAATTTGAACGAAGTGCCCTGGAATGATTCTGGTACTGAAGTAATTCTACCAAATACCAAGGGTCAAGACCATTATGGCATTTAGAGCTTTCAAAACTAGCAAAAGCAACTTGAACACAACATGGTAGGAATCCAGGAGCGTATGAAGTTTTACCAGAAGTGGACTTAGGTCCAGTTCAGATGATAAACTTTTCATGAGCTGAACCTAATACATTGAATTAAGTACATCTTTTCGTCTAGCCTGGCTGGGAATTTCGTCTTTGGAGTGACTTTGGAATGGCTTTGATTCAGACCCCGAACTTTTCATGTACCGAAGCTAATGTATAAATGATATTATTATAACGTATTTTGTAAGCAGTTTGAGCGAAATGAGCATTTTTCGCCTTTTGAACTTAGTTCAGCTGCAATTAAGATTGGCGTCTGAATCAATTACGATTTGGGTCAACCTCAATTCAAGTTAGGTTCGCTAATGAAAAGTTCAGCATCTGAAACAGGCCTTAATGATCAAAGTTAGCAGCACCAGTTACAAAACGAGCTGCCATGTTCTGTAGCAGTTGAATTAAGTTTCCTCTGCTGCTAATTGGGTAATCCATAAAAAAGATTTACAGTAATCCAATTTAGAAGTTAAAAGCTTCTTCAACTGTGGCAGCTGATCTTTGTTAAGATACTTTCTGATCTTACACAAGTTTCTAAAATGGCAGACTAATGCTCTGCAAAGATCCATCTATGTTTTACACATAAAACTACCATGGTCAAAGGACACATGATTATCTAGTACTTCACTTTTATGTTTGTTCAACTTTAGATCATTTGCGATTCAACAACAAATATCACCAACACAGCTTTCAATCTGGTTTTTGACCAAAGATGCATCATTTGTTTTAAAAACAATATAAAGCTGAGTATCATCAGCATAAAGATGATATCAATAATTATTATCGATATAATTGCAGCTCTAAATAACATCACTGAGAATAGATTTATAAATGAGGTTAATGCAGGTCCCAGAACAGACCCTTGCGGCACACCAACTGACAGGACATGCTTATAGTCGACTCCTGATAACTCGAACCCTCGCTAACTAACTCGAGCCAAAATGGATTTCCCCTTAATTTCCTTCATACGTTTACTGTAATTTTACCCTCAGTAACTCGAACCCTAAATAACTCGAACCTCCAGCTAACTCAAAGTAAATTTTGTTTCTCTTCAGTTCATTTCTACACAATTCTACCCAGAATAACTCAAACCATGTTTTGAGCACTTAAAAAGTCAGGGAAAAACAGTGTACCAGTGTCCGAAACATTGAATTTTGAATTTCCCATTGACATGTTGTAGGCATATAGTTTACTAGCTAGTGAAGGCTGATGTTGTTTGTCACAAATCTAATGTGAACAGCTTTTATATACTTCTCAAAATAGTAAAATGCATGCTCTATTTGGGCTATATTTTGTTACATTACATTCTGATTTAGAGAACTCTCTTTCAATTTTCAGTTTACATTTCTACAAGTCAGAGTAAATGTGATTTACATGTTCACTGTAGTAAACAATGTATTTTTTTTTTTACTCCTGGCTACTTTCTTTGAGCTCCCCATAACCCGAACTGAAATGAAAATGAAATATAAACTTGGAAATGGACAATTAGAGCTGATCATATAAATTTCATATTCAAACATATCAACATGGAGCTGTGCTCCAATAGAGCCTGTTCGCCCATGGCACCTTGCAGTGTACTTTAGCTAAATTGTATAAAACTTGTATGCCAAGCACCCTGGATTTCACACTCAGAGCAAATTTTCTGAAGAGCACAGCCTTGCATAATTAACTACAGTGCACAATAAATTGCATCAAATTAAATTTAGTGTAGCTATAGCCTTCTATATTAGCATACATGTTATTCTCTTCACTGACCTCAGAACATTTCTACAGTACATTATACATGTACATGTTTGGAGAAACTAGTAAACTGTTAATGTTTATAATAATTATAATTAATAATAATTAATAATTTTGTTTTAATATTTTATTCATTCAATATTTTATTCAAGGATAGCACGAGGGTTAATTTGCAAATTTTATTGATGAGTGGAGTCAGTGTGACTTCTTCACAAATTTTGGAGTCATTTTGGAATTTTTGGAGTCAAGTATCAGACTTCCCAGCATGTGGTCCTGGCATGTATACACAATCGTGAGGGATACACGAAGTAGCTGTGGTGGTCCGCTGACCTGGAAAGCTCAAATCCATGATGGCAGTCATCAAGTAAACTTTGATCGTAATTTACCCTTTCCTGTTTTGTCGTGCAGTGCAATTCTTTAATTTAGATGATTTAATTAAGGTTTACAGTGTTTACAATTAACATAAATTGTATTTGTTGCGAAAAAGGTAAGGAGAAAATTTTTGGAGTCGAAGTGGCTCCCTGTTTGTTACTGAAAATTTTTGGAGTTGAAGTGACTCCCTCCGTAACCTCAGTGGAATCATCTGAACAATTCTGGCGTAAAATACGCCAAATTTGGCATATTTGCGAACCCTGGATAGCACCAACAAGGTCATATAATAAATAACTTAATAACCTCGTCCTTTCAGTCATTACAGGGACCTCGGCTCACTCTCAGTTAATAAATGGTATGTGGTACTCAATTTTCCAAGGAAAACAAGTTGACAACTGCCAGTGATCTCATTAATAATAATGAAAATAATAATGATAATTATCATTATTATTATCATTATTATGATTCGTGACATTTCAGGAATTTAATAATAAAATCAACTGGTCACAATGGAAGTTAAACTTGTTTGAGAATACTTGCATACAGGTACATTTTTACAAAAACTTGTCACAGGCAATTGAATTTTTGCATTAAAATGCAACAATAGTAAACTGATTTTTCCTTGTATCATTAATAAACCAATACAACAATATCAATAATTAATGTGTCAAAAAGTCGATGACATTTCTTACTTGACCATCTTCATCCTACAGCTGTAGTTCTGTTATAAATATTATTACAATTGAATCTGACTGGTATAGTCAGAGCTAATAAAAGACACATGAAGGCTTACTTTGAGCAAGAGGGATAATAGCAGTCCACTTGGGTTTGTACTCCTGTTGGCTAATATAATTGCTAAAAATAGCATCTGTAGGAATAATAAAAAATTTAATAATGAAAAAGTGAAGAAAATTGGCTCGGATTTAATAACCCATCAGCAGAAATACTCAGATAATAACCCCACAAATCCATGAATTAAATAATCAGAACTACATGTATCTCTTTATCAGAAGTCACTTTATATTTAACATGTTGTTTTTGCCTATCACAGAGTACATTAATATAAATTTTTGAGTTCTTTGACTAGCACCACTTTTATTATTGACAATCATTTTGTGAAGGAAACATGACAAAAACATACAAAATGTCATGAAAGATATTGTTCATCATGGTTAAAGTGTAAAGTGTGATGACAACAGGGAGACAAACAATGACCAAAACCTTATAAACAAACAAAATGGATAAAAAATGGATATTAAAAGAGCTATATGTTATAAGTCCATTACAGGACAACAACACACTATGACACAACTGATGCAAGCTGGAATATTATAGTTAAATTTGTCAACAATTGCCTCTTTTTATTTTTTCACAATAATCAATTGAACATTGTTCATATATGATTATCACATTGGAGTGATCAATTTCTACCTGCACATCCTGGAATTCAGGTGTATAAAATAATTTCTTAAAATACAGAGATATGATACCTGTGATGCAAGCCTACCTTTTGAAGCTTGCTCTATAATTTTTTCACATCCATCAAAGTCATTATTTATAACCTGGAGAATTGGAAGGAGTAAAAATCATGATCAATTTGAGTCAACTTTATTTTTTACAGCCCTGATTTACCATTGTAACTATACTGTATAACGGGGAGGAGACACAGATCAGAACCTTCTGCATTCTGTACCCTGCTCTGCTCTGATACATCCTTTACTTAGTTTTTCATTTGACTGTAACCCTTTTTGCATTGCTCCCAGATTCAGATTCAGATTTGTTTCTGTTTGGCACTATTAACAAATATTATGACAGTCTGAGTTATAAAGTGACATTACAATACATTAATACAGAGAGAATAAATAACAAATGGTAAGAAGTAAAATGTGTGCAGTGACCAGTTGAGAGTAGCTAGTAACAGCTATCAAGGTGGTCACTACCATGTGCAATTCACTGGCATAGACAAGCACATACACAAATTAGACCAAGAAATAGAAAAATAATGAAGCGCAAAAACGCCTTTTATATATCTTAATACTTACCTTTACTTTTCATACAAAGACAAAACAATGTAATAGAAAATAGAAATTAATAAAGCATGGGCAGAATTCACTATAAAATACAGTCAAATTAAACTTCACAAATAGATTGGGTATTAACTGAGAGGGGGTACAGTTGGTACTGCTTGTAGAAGTGGTTAAACGATAAATTAAGCTTTTTAAATGCCGAGGGAAAAGTTTCCCAAATGTTTGATGCCACAAAACCAAAAAGGTGTAGCTTCATGTACTCAATATTACATATCTGGTCTATGAAAGTTGTAGTGCAAATATTGACAAATGTGGTGTCATATCAGTGTATCTCAGAAGCTACAGTAAGGGTTTCGAGAGAAGACAAATGAAGCTAGAGTTCAATATGTTCCCAATTCTAAATAACACATGTATGCCTATGGATTTATCAAAGCGTTGAAAATTTACAGTATAGTATAACCTTTTTTTCTTTACAGCCAGAGTGGGAACTTTTGTTCACTTTCAAGTGATATTTATAAAATTTTTTTTTTTCTTGAACCATGGGGAGAGCTGCTCACTGTTTGGTGCTCATTTTTCATACAGTTAAGTGTTATAACACACTGAAAAATAAATCATTAAAAGGAAGTTGGCATTTAATATTTCTCTCCAGCTTCTCACCCACTTCCTATATCTCCTCCAGACCTGTATGCCATACCCCTTTAGCCTCCTGTTCCACTAGGATCCGTTTTCTAAACCCAACTACACATGTAACAACTATCATGGTGTACAACGGAATTGTGGCTGAAACAGTCTGAAGATGGATCTAATGTTCACAGGCTGAGAATTCCAAGGACTTAACTAGTAAATATCACCAGAAGGGTTTGCTACATCCAAAGAAACTAATCGTAGTTTACTATTCATGCAATGGAAGTAAGTGATCCCCCAAGTTTTACAGCTATAATTAAGGTGCTAACCAGTTTTTGATGAAGTTCTGTCAGCATGGGATGTTCAAGGGCAATTTTTGTCCTCTTTTGTAGAGACTCAAATGCTTCAGTGTAGTTGTGCTGTCGAAAGTGTTTCAGGCAAAGACGTATCGCCTCTCTCTCTCGATACTAGACCAAGATAAGCATCAAAGAAAATAATATTAAGTTGTAAATTAACAAGTAAAGAAAAGTATTTGCAAGTTTACTATTTTCAGGGTTCGCATGGATCCTTTTTTGAACAAGAAATTCAAGGACTTTTCAAGGACTTTCAAGGACATTTCCCACTGGTCAAGGACTCCATTCAGTGCACAAGAGAGCCTTGAGTCTAAGTCTTTTTTTTAGTTCTTCAACAACATGAGCAAAATTTCATCCTCAAGGTTTTTTTGTGTTTGCTGGGTTGGATAAATTAAGCACTGAAATTCAAGGGCTTTCCAGCCCCGACTGCAATTTTCAAGGACTTTCAAGGCGACTTTTATATTCTAAAACTCAAGCAAGGACTTTCAAGATGCATATGAACCCTGTATTTTTGTCAGAGCCATAGTAATAGAAAATGTTTTCTGTGTTTGTATAGCCTGATATAAACACAAGAGGGGTTGGGAGAATTTGAGACAGTTATGCAAACTCGAGACGAAGTCAGGGGTTTGCATAACTGTCAAGAATTCTCCCATCCCCTCTCGTGTTTATCTCAGGCTTTGCAAACACAGGAAAAAAGGTTTTTATTGCTTTTATGACATAACTTTCCCGAGAAAAAACCCAAAACTCTTTGTTATGGCACTGATTAAAAGAGGAATTCATACCAGTCGCAAAGTCTTGCATAATGACGTCTTGCCCGTGTAATCAGTTCTTGTTTTGTCAAAAGATGCTTTCCAAAATACAGATTTTTTCTCTTAAAATGTCAGCTTAAGCAAAAAAAAAATTGACACAGAGTGTTGTAAAGATTTTCCAAGTTTAAGCCAATGAAGGAATCGGTAAATAAAGTAAACTTGTCGAGTTTTGAACTAAAAAACTTTTTCAAATTTGTGCTTGCATGATTAGAGAGCGAAAAGCAAAACATCTTGACATCACAACCATGTTTACATTCTCTCATGCAAACACTCCTCTCGGCCAATGAGCACATGCGTACTATCTTAGTTATTTTATAAATTAATGTATTCATTAACAAAAGTCATACTTAAGCATAACATACAACTGTACATGTGCTTACAGTGTTAAACCAGGCAAGACTTGGTTCAACAATCTCTGGATCATTCATTCCTTGCAGCTCAACAAACCAGATACTAAAATTAAAACTGGGTCCATGGGACAGGATAGGAACTAGAATAAAAAAGAAAGAAAGAATGATCTTCCATAAATTGCTTGAGCATAGCCTGTATTAATGTACAAAAGGTGAGCCTGGCAATGCCAAACATTGAAAAACTAAAATGAACTAAGTGTTGCACACTTAAAATGTCCATACCAGTAAATCACAATAGCATTGTGAAGCATCAGATGATAAAAATGAAAATGTTGCCAAAAAGAAGTAAAACAATAAGTAAGTATTGCCTTTTCTACTTTTCTTATAAATTATCAACTGCATTATATGGGGGCAATGTGGCCAAGAGAGTGTTGGATATATTACAAGTCAAAATTAAGTTCAGGTTAAAATTTTTTATCCGGTCAGTGTAAAACGCAGACTGCGGACTGCAGACTGCAGACTGCGGACCAGGGGTAAAATGCAGACTGAGTGTAAAATGCAGACTGCAGACTAAGAGTAAAACGCAGACTGGGGTAAAATGCAGACCGAGCATAAACTGTAGTCGTGGAAGGGTTTAAGGGCAAAAAAATCCCGCAAATACCTGTAAACGAACACTTACTTGATGACATCTGCTTTCACAAATCCATTCCTTTCTTCTCTGGAACGTCGTCGACGACCCGAAAACATAATCGCAATCTTGAACCTTTTTTCCATCCGAGAGACTTCACGCTTCAATTTTTGATACAAAGTTTTCGATATACGTGATCAGGGACCGTGAACTGGTACAACACCACGATGTTTACGCTTAAATGAAAGCTGCTGACCCAAAATACTGTACAGGAATTATGGCGATAAAAACGGGAGTAAGTCATTTCAACAACAAAGAAAGATGTTCTGCAGGAAATTTGGATGACCTTCTATGAAAGTATTGCAAATCAAGGTACGCAGACTTAAGCTGTTTGGATGTTCATTGAAACTTCTGGCGAATGTGCAATTCACTTCGACTAGGAAGCGAAGTGTGTAACTGATACCGGCTAGCTATTTCACCGATTTGAAGAAGAAGGAGCACAAATGTTTAAAAAAGTCTACAGTCTTTATTCTGCATTTTACCCCAGTCTGCATTTTACTCTTAGTCTGCAGTCTGCATTTTACACTCAGTCTGCATTTTACCCCTGGTCCGCAGTCTGCAGTCTGCAGTCCGCAGTCTGCGTTTTACACTGACCGATTTTTTATCCTAGGTTCATTCTCTTTTTCCTTTGACTCCTAGCCCTAGTTCATGAATAGTTGGGGATATGAGACAAATGAAATTGAGAATCAACCTAGGTTAAAAAATTTTAACCTGAATTTACTTTTGACCTGTAACAGATACACAGTACACAGGTCTTAAGTCTAGCTTCTTTCACCACTGGCTGTTACATACCTCATCTTTACTTCTTGGCAGACTGGAGTTCAACTCCTTAAAGCCAATCAAAATTTTGAGAATGATTTTCTTTCTGTCAGTGACATGCAGGGATTCCAAACAGATTGACAAACAGGTTGTGGCAATTTAAGAGGAGAGCTTGAAAGCAAAATAGGACTAACCGCACTTCCTCCGTAAACAACTAGGTATTTAAATAATATTAACCTTGGGCATCAGTTGCTCAAATGTTGGATAATGGTATCCACTGGAAAAAACACTATCCAGTGGGTACGTATTTGAGAAGGCAATTGCATTATCCACTGGACAGACATTTTATCCAGTGGATAGTGTTATCCAAGTTTTGAACAACTGAGGACAGATGCTTCTCATATACATGCGTGCACTGCTTTTGCAGAACATACATGTTCATTTCTTTCACCAATACTTACCAATTTTAATATAATTACATGGAAACATTTTTCCATCCAATTCATGCTTCAGATTAAATGTCTCCTTTATATGATCATTTCTGAGCCCACTGCAAATGACAAATTTTATTAGAATGCATTATTTTTCAAGAAATTTCTCTCAAGGATTCGCTTTAAAAGGAACCCCTATTCAATGATGTTTCACATCTCATACACAGGAGTACATGTAAGTGTCAGATTCTCTCTAACAATAACCAGTGTAAACGTAGTTTGAGAGCACCTGCCAATTCTTGGCAAAAACGGTGTTCCTGTACAATTTGACATTTTCATGGCATGCTGTGAAACATATCAAACAAATCTGTTGTACAGCGAGGTTGCATGAAGTTTGGTACATTTCTTGAGCCTTGTGAAATGTTGGCCACAATTTCAGTGTGCAAAGAAAGTCAGCTTTATAGCTACTCATTTAGGCAAAGCTGTAGCTAGCATGTACTAGCCCAAAAGTCATTTCAACTAGCCTGAAAACTATTTTGATGAGGAGGATTGATTACAGTTCTTCTGAAATTAATTTGAATTGCCCCAAAAAAATTCACCTAAAAAAACTTCACTTGCCTGTCAGGCAACTTAAGAACAGAATTTACTAGCCTGGTAACAAAATACACTAGTCTTGGGCTATCGCAGACTTCTTTCATTATACGCTGATTGTTTGTAGGAAATCAAAATGTTAAAGAATGCATGTTGTAGTTTCCTACTGTCTGGTCCACACTTAACCATTGTACATTGTACAACAATTATTGTGTATACAAAACTCCAAAGGAAATTTTTGAATTTCAAAAACAAAACATTTTAAAGTGGATTTTGAGCAGTCTTGGAAAAAACAGTTAACTTAAGTAATACTAAGTGTATACAGTACCTATGTAACAACTCAGTCATGTGATCATCATTTAATCCACCATAAATCTTGAATTTTCTGAGATTGCAGACATGGGTCTTCTCATACTTGCCGAATGTTACAGTCATCACAACTGCTGGTTTATCCAGCTTAAGTATCAGAAACTGAACAAAATAACAAAACCTTATTAATATGTGAAAGACAAACTGAAATTTGAATAACATGCTTAAAGACAGTAAGATTTCCGCAACCTCAAAAACAGCTTGCTTATATGAATAGAGTCGAACATCTATGCATATTTATTAATACATATATCGGGCTGTGGAGTATGTGGAAATCTAGTCTCCCACGCAGCCGTTTTGTGCCGTCACGTAATGCTCCTCCCCAACAAACGACAGCTCACATTCAAACCAAATTCCTTTCCAATAATTACTATTGTTTTATTTGTTAACCCACAGAAATGACCAATCATTTATCAGTAAACTGAATGCAAAGAATGAGTAACTGTGATTTCCGGTTGCATCTGAGGTGTCGGCCGTGACGGGCTGGGTTCTGTTTTGCTTTTATAAAAACTGAATCAAAGATTGAGGGTTTCTGCAGGCAAAAACTAAAGAACACATTTGGCCCTAAAATGGGCGACTTTAAACTGTATAACACTTGGTATAAAAGCTGGATCAGTAAATTTCCCATTGAGGAAAATTTTTTTTGGCAAGAAACAGCTAATTTGTTATCAGATTATCAGCATTGGCCATCATGTGGCACAACTGTAAACGTTTAACAAGTTCAAGTTCAAGTTCAAGTTCATTTATTCACACTTGTTCAATTGCAATACAACACATTTGCAATACGTCACATCTAGATACAGACCAGGTAAGGTCAGATAAAGCAAACGTATGTGCATAAGCGTTTCTAAAAAATGATTGGAACGGCAAAAAACACAAATACTGCTTAAAGTGGACGTCAGTTTTAATTCTTACTCTGGATAAGTAGTCAAATTGCAGCAATTTCGAGTCTGTTTTATTCAAAACAAAGAGTAATGTACGTAATGAGACAAATATAAAAATGGCTTTCTGGGCGACAACTTGGCACCAAACATGATACGATGGAATGGAGGCTATGATTGGAAGGTATGTAAAAAGACTATCTGGTGCAAAACCGTTCCAGAAAAATAGAACCATCGCTGTGATTGGCTCAAAATATCGGGAAGGGATTGTGGTTTAAATGTAAGCGGCCATTTGTTGGGGAGGAGCGTAGTGTATGTGATGAAATGTGGCTTATCTCGGAAACCACAAGAACTCAATGAACTTATAGTATGCCTTAGCGTTTTATATTACCGAATAGTTTAGTTATTTGTTGGCTAGCCACAAGCACATGTATTCATTCATTTAAGCTTGTTCCGCAATAAACAACGTTTGCTTAAACACGATATATTTACTCGCGTGTCTTTACATGGTGGCAGCGAGTGGAGAGCTATAGTGGTAACATATGACACATAGCCAATCGCCTACAAGTCAACAAGAGTATGGCCTCTGGATTTTCGTTACCGCCGCCAGCACCCCTTGAAATACACGACCCCAACGTGGCAGAGAGGTGGAAAAAGTTCCTCCTGGCGTGGGAGAACTACGCACTTGCAACAGAGTTAAACAAGAAGGGTCAGCCTGTTCAAGTGGCCACACTACTAACAGTGATTGGCGAAGAAGCAAGAGAGGTGTATTCTACCTTTAACGATTGGGCAGAAGACGGCGACGATAAGAAAATTAAGCCTGTGTTGAAGAAGTTCGGGGATTATTGCGAACCACGCAAAAATATTCCTTTCGAGAGATACAAGTTTAACCGCCGAGTTCAAGAGCCAGGAGAAACCTACGATCAGTATCGTACCTCTCTACGAAAGTTAGCCGAGGGCTGTAGTTTTGAAACAATCACGCCTGATGAAATCCTTCGTGACCGCCTTCTGTTTGGTGTTCGAGACAACAAGCTAAGGGAGAGACTCTTAAGAGAGACTAAGTTAACGCTAGACAAAACAGACGAAATCTGCAGGGCCTCGGAGAGTACGATAGCTCAAATGAAGCTTGTCGAGCAACCTTCAGGACAAATAAATGCAGTCACAAGTCAAAGCAAGAAGCCTGAAGTCCCATGGAGACGAAAACGTCACGGCGACAAACACGCAACTAAAGAATGTGGGAGATGCGGCACTTTGCATGACCAAACAAAGAGAGAACGATGCCCGGCTTATGGCAAGACATGCTTGAAATGCGGCAAAGTCTCACATTTCGCGTCTAAATGTCGCAGTAAGAAAAGAGATCCCAAGAGTGATAACAAGGATATACCTGTCAGAACCGTCGACAGCGATAACAGCGAATCGGAAGTATTTTACGCCGAGATGATCTCTGCAGTTGATCTAGATGATTCCCAACTTGTGACCCTCAAATTGGAGTCAGGCCATTACCTGCGTTTTCAACCAGACACAGGGGCACAATGCAACGTAATCCCGCTGAACCTTTACAAGAAAGCGACAAAGGATTACCGTCTTGAACGCGTGACACCTTTGAATACTCAACTTGCGGCCTACGGAGGCTCAAAACTGTCAGTTGTGGGTCAAGTGCGCATCACCGTATGGCGTGACGAACTCAAGTGTAAATTGGATTGCAAACTTGTTGACAGCAACACGATCCGCCCGCTCCTTGGGAGAAAAGCTTGCGTGGGTATGAAGATAATTAAATACACAGACAATGACGAACTAAACAAACCACAAACAGGAAGTGCTCCGGTTTACTCGCTCGAACGGACAACTATGGAGAAAGTCACGCACGTACCTATCACGAGAGAAGCATTGATCGAGAAATATCCCGATGTTTTCGGTGACGGCGTAGGCAAACTGGCTGGTGAACACCACATCAGACTGGATAACACCGTAGACCCTGTGCAACATGCACCTCGACGCGTTCCGGTGGCACTCAGAGCTAAAGTTAAAGAAGCCCTAGGAGACCTTGTTAAACAGGAAGTTATCGCACCTGTGACTTCCCCCACAGCTTGGATAAGCTCTATGGTAACCGTACCCAAGAAAAACGGTAAACTTCGCATATGCCTAGACCCAAAGGACCTCAACCGTGCCGTACAACGTGAGCACTACCCTCTTCCAACAATCGAAGACGTTGCCACAAGACTACACGGCGCCAAAGTTTTCACAAAACTTGACGCGCGAAATGGTTTCTGGCACGTGGCCTTGGATGACGAATCATCGTACCTAACCACGTTCCACACTCCGTTTGGTCGTTACCGTTGGAGACGCCTGCCTTTCGGTATTAGTTCAGCTCCGGAAGTCTTCCAGCGGAGAATGCACCAACTGATCGAAGGCTTGTCAGGAATTGAAGTCGTAGCTGACGACTTTATCGTGATTGGCTGCGGGAACACTGTTGCAGAGGCTAACAGCGACCATGATAGAGCCCTTATCAGCTTCCTAGAGCGTTGCAAAGAGCAAGGTGTTAAGCTCAACACTGAAAAGCTTAACCTTCGACTGACGGAAGTCCCGTTTATTGGACATATCGCGACAGACAAGGGCTTGCGTGTTGACCCCGCCAAAGTTCGGGCTATAAGCGAAATGCCAGCGCCAACAGATAAAGCCGGAGTACAGAGACTGCTGGGACTCGCACAGTATTTAAGCAAGTTCCTTCCACGTCTGTCCGACATCACTAAGCCACTGAGAGAACTGACGCAGAACGAGGTTGAATGGACCTGGGGAACAGCTCAAGAAGAGGCACTGGACTCCTTGAAAAAAGCTGTGGTGACTACCCCCGTTTTGCGATACTACAACTTAGAGGAGGAAGTTACGCTCCAGTGCGACGCATCTCAATTTGGATTAGGCGCCGCCCTATTACAGAATGGTCAGCCTGTGGCCTACGCATCAAGAGCACTTACTGGTGCCGAAACGCGATACGCCCAAATAGAAAAGGAACTGCTCGCAATAGTGTTTGCGTGCGAACGTTTTGAACCTTATGTGTATGGTCGTGACATAGTTCACGTGGAAACTGACCACAAACCTTTGGAACCGATCTTTGTAAAGGAGCTCAACGCAGCGCCCAAGCGACTACAACGGATGTTGCTGAGGCTGCAGAAGTACAGTCTTTGTGTAGCGTACAAAAAAGGGCGCGATATGTATTTGGCCGACACCCTCAGCCGTGCATTTCTCCCAGAAGTGAATGCTTGTGAGTTTACACAAGAGTTAGAGTCAGTGGATCACCGAGCCTTCCTTCCAGTCAGCAACGAACGCTGGCAGCAGATCAAACACGCGTCGGCAGATGATCCCGTGTTGCAGAAACTAAGAGCTACGATACGTCAAGGATGGCCAAAACAAAGATCTGACGTTCCTGAATGTCTCTACCCGTACTTCGACATAAGAGACGTCTTAACCGTTCAGGATGAACTGGTTTTCAAGGGACAACTACTCGTAGTACCAGCCAGCCTACGGAAGGAGCTTATGGCAGTGCTACACAGTTCCCACATCGGCATCGAAGGGTGTGTTCGCAGAGCACGCGATACCCTCTACTGGCCCCGCATGGCCGCCGAGCTGCGACAGTACATCTCGAAGTGTGACATCTGTCTAGCACACCGCGACAGGCAAGCCAAAGAACCGCTGTTACAACACGAGGTGGTGGCCCGACCCTGGGCCAAAGTCGCCGCTGACCTCTGCGAAGTAGACAACCGCACTCTACTAGTCATTTCCGACTACTACAGCAATTTCATAGAAGTTGCTCGTCTCAAGACCGTGACATCACGCAATGTTATCAAAGAAATGAAAGCCGTATTCGCGCGGTATGGCATCCCGGACGTGCTCGTCACAGACAACGGCCCCCAGTTCGCTTCTGCCGAATTTTCTGTTTTCGCGAAAACTTGGATGTTTCAACATACAACATCTTCCCCCTATCATCCACAATCGAATGGAAAGGCAGAAAACGCTGTGAAAACAGTGAAAAGGCTCTTCACGAAATGCAGAGAATCAGGCCAATCAGAGTTCTTAGCCCTGTTAGATTGGCGCAACACCCCTACTGAAGGATTTGGCACCAGCCCCGCCCAGCGCCTCATGGGGCGTCGTTGTAAAACGCTTGCACCTGTGGCCGGTACTCTGCTACAGCCTCGTTACTCAACCGAAGAAGAGACGCGCGCACTCATAGGCTCAAAACAGCGACAGCAGCACCACTACAATCATCATGTAAAGCCATTACAACCCATTGACCAGGGAGAAACTGTGCGCATGAAGCTGCCTGGACAGAAGACATGGAGCCCTGGCACCTGCCTGGGAAAGGTTGGCCCGTGAAGCTATGAAGTGAAAGTTGGCGAGTCTATTTACAGACGCAACCGCCGTCAGCTGATTCGTTCAAATGAACCACCTATCGTGGACTACAACGAAGCTGAGCCTGCTACATCAAGCTCAGAGACTACACCCCAAGACCATCAAGTCGATCAGCCAGCTCAAGCACCCAACATCCAATCGCATCCTGCTCCGCTACGCAGATCAGAACGCTCGCGCAAACGGCCAGCCTACCTAAAGGACTTTGTGACTCAATGAACTCAAATAAGATAACAAACAGTTGTTTATCAAGTTTTGAGTTAAACACTTGTATTTAGTTTCTTGTTTTCTTTATAAGAGGAAAGATGTGACGAAATGTGGCTTATCTCGGAAACCACAAGAACTCAATGAACTTATAGTATGCCTTAGCGTTTTATATTACCGAATAGTTTAGTTATTTGTTGGCTAGCCACAAGCACATGTATTCATTCATTTAAGCTTGTTCCGCAATAAACAACGTTTGCTTAAACACGATATATTTACTCGCGTGTCTTTACAGTGTACATGACAAAAACGGCTGTGAGGGAGACTAGTGGAAATCTAACCCTCAAAGAATACTAGGGGAACCAGGTGAGAAAATATTTGGCTTCCATTACAGTAACATTAAACAAGGACCATGAACTATTCCTCATAATCAGCAATTTTCTCTTTCACCACAGGCCAATCCATGAACATGTACACACATGCAGCCTAAAAGAATGTTACGACATCTTTATAATTGTTTTTAGTCCAGGCGGATGGTGCTCTAAAATATTGTTATGCTTAGCATGTTAGGTGCACTCTTTGTTTCTCTGCATATCTAACACTTAAAAGTCTTGAAGTTTTGTTAGCAATGAAGGGAGTATTTAGAGGACGGAAATAGTAGTTTAAATGTAATAAAATTGCACCTGAGGTGGAGAGTTACTGTCTGAGGACCAACGTGATGACTGGTCATTAGGTTTATCCACGAGAATATTCCTGTACAAAATGCAAAATACCTCCAACATTACCACCTGACACCAAAGAAAGATGCCAGCAAATTAAAGAAAAAAGCATACACGAGGTCTTACGTTGGTAGATAATTGGAGGAATGGCTGGAACACTTGTGAATGGAATACGTTAAAACACGAGGTGAGACGCTCCCTGAAGCCGCCATTTTGGCGCACTTCAACGATTGCGCAGGTACTTGAGACGGGCGCACAACATCATGGGACATACGCCTCGCTCCCGCCCAGTCCCCATTCATCAAAGATGGCGGCCGGTCTGGCGGTCGTAGGGGGTCGAGGTCTTCTTGGTATTTGGAGTCGCGGGATTCAACCTTCCTCTGTTGTAGATGTAAGAAGTTTCTTATTTTTCTGACTTTCTTTTAAGAGATGTGATAATGTTTGAAATTATACTAAGATGTTTATGTTGATGCATGTGTTATCATCAAGTGATGGGCTGGGCGGTCGTGTAAATAAGTTTAATCTGATTGCCCACAAATAAGCTTGAGGTGAAGTAACAAACAGCCCTCCGAGCAGAGACTGCCTTCCTTTGCCAATATTAAACAAAGATATGAGTGAAAAACCCTTTTGTTAATTTTTGTCAAGCAAAATCTAAAAGCAGAACAGGGTTCTCAACAGATTTTTAAATAGGAGGTGATCACTGATAAAGTAGGAGGCTCTTCAGCAAAGCCAGAGGTGTCAAAACAAAGCAAAGAAAAGCGACTTAAACACAAAGTAAGCGGCTATAAATCCCAAAGTAAGCGGCGATCAATCGCCGGGTGCCGCCTTCTATTGAGAACCCTGGCAGAACATATTAAAGCTTTTATCCTTTGTGGGAGAGTATATGTGTAGTGTGGTGGGATACCAAGCTAAGATACCCAATTTCTTTGCCCAGAAATACCAGTATGCCTTAACTGCAAACTTGTTGATCATAGTAATACCTCAGATTACATTCTAATGCCAAATACTAGTATTACCAAAAACCCCTGGATAAGACTGATACCACTGATTTCTTAATCATATTCCTGTATCTTTACATCCCCTATGGGAGATTATACAGTAATAATTCATTTAGGCTGAAAATGATGGTCAGTGAGAGGGAACTGAAGGACAGGTGTTTACTGAAGATCTAAGTAAGCTTTACCTTGTGCTTTCATTTCTTGTTTCACAAACCCTGTGACTAAGATTCAAGTTGACTAAGATTTCAAGTTGCCAGGTAAATACTACAAGAAGGCAGGGAATTAAGCAGCTGGGGACTTCTTTTGGTTTTATTCTTCTTCTATTTTCCTATGGACGAAGTAGCTGGGGGTCACATTCATGGGAGCCAGAGGAAATACCCAGCCCCCCGCTCTTATACTTAATGACAGCCCTGCAAGCCTGTATGATGAGCACCATGGTTTCGTTATTCAGAGCTTTTGCACATTGACCAGTTGTTTCACCTAGGAGTCATTTTGCTAATGTCTTGTTCACTAACATCTTATGTTGTTCTGTTTAAGAAGCGAAACGAGCGCTGCCCATATGCATATGTCATTCTCTCAGCCATCAAGCAAAAAAATGCAATACACATGTAACACCTGTTTGTTTCATACACTGATCAGGCAAAAGCAGTTAGGGAACTAACCCAACACATAAGCTAAACAACTTAAGACCAGGGTTCAAAATAAAATCACAGCTCTTAGCCTGAATCTGTAGGCTCTTTTTATCAAGGCTTATTTTTTCCTGGCTGTCAATAATGAATGAGCACAATCCATCAATAGTCAACAACAGAAAAAGAAAGCTCTCTTTTTTGGTGTTTGTTCAAGCATAAAATATGTGACTTTGTCTTGACAAACCTTCACACTTCTTTACTCACAAACCAGGGCAGAGCAAAAACAAAAATAAATAATCTGTCAAGCAATATGCATACAAAACTGAATTTAATTTGAACTAGTGAAAGGCTTCACAAACGGCACTAAACAAGTTTTTATGCAAAATAAATCTTTATTACTTGTACCTGTGCAGAAACATAAGGGCGGTAATTAATGCAACACTTTGTTTGTCTAGACAAACTTGCATGTTTCACCCTTGAATGAATAACTGTGTAAATTTAGTTGTTCATGGTGAACAAGAATTCTCTTTTTCAACTTTTGCAGCATGTGTTAAATTTCCAAACCTTTTTCTCCTCTACCCTCATTGTAAAATGTTTCCAAAAAGTTTTTAGATTTTTGGCTGCTTTATTGTCTGATATGAAATGTTTATCACAACATTACAGCGACTTTCATTTCAGTTGGTCAATCAAAGCATGACATTTCTGTTTCTTGTGTGAAAAGTCACTAGCAAGTGTGGCCAAAGTACTGGCTGCCACCCGCAGGTGGCTCCCATTTTGAACCCTGTTAAGACGTTAGTAAAGAGGTCATTGGTGAGATGACCATAAAGCTGTTGCACAACTCTTAATATCCAACTGAAATTGATGCTTTGTGTAATGCACCACCGCTTTTAATCTGAGTCCCTTCCCCTCTCAACAAACATACATGAATGGTAGCTTATTTTTGTCAGTATTGCAGATGAGTATTACCAGTTCAAATGATTATTGATACACCAGCACTGTAATACTGCTTATCAAAACACATTAATTTTTTGCTTATTGTTTATTAGAGAATACACAAAAGCAAATTTGTGATGTTCACAGCAAGGAGTTATACATGTTTAACAGGTATTTTTGGCAAACTGTGTATTTTTTAAATTCTTGTGTACTTCCATGATTGTATCAACTAGATTTAGTTGCTAGAGCCCTGTTTAGCTAAAGTTTAATTTTTAGAAAAAAAACCCTGAAGCTAAACAAAAACACCTTTAAGATAATAGTTGCAGCCTCTTTTTAGTATTGTTGGCATCAAAACTGTTGACTAACTGTTTTATAAAATCAGCTGTTTGGTAGGCTCAGTCAGATATCTCTTTTGAGGCATTGTCCAGCCTGAAAGATGAAATTTATTGGCTTTTTACACACTCACACTCAAACACTTTATTAACAACTGATATACAAGAAGTCTGTTTCTGCCTGCAAATAGCAAGTATTAGTCAAGGCGGGCAGAGACACAGGGGTACAGCAGTCAGTTATAAACTAGAATGGTTAGTTAAAAATAAATAAATTAATAGATGGGTGCTGACAGGAGATGGGTGCTGACAGGAGATGACCTGGTCTTATGGGTCTCTTCTGGCTACAGGTCTAACACATTTTCTTATTGCTTACAATTACATTATTATGAGCAGTGACATGGCAACACTAAAAATTCCTCTTAAATTCTGAGGTGCATTATTCCATTTAGCCCAGAACTGCCCCTGTCCACGTCCCTTGTACCTTTCTTTTGATTCTGTTTTCCTTTTTTTCCTATGAAAGTAACTGGGGGTCATACATATAGTGGCCAGGGAGATCCCTACCCTCCAGCCCTTAGTGACAGCCCTGTTAACAGCAAACTTAGAGATATCATGCAGCCTTATGTCCCAGTGGGGGTGAAGTGGTTGAGTGAGTGAGGTGGGTGGGTGGGTGGGTGAGTGAGTGAGTGAGTGAGTATAGGCTATCATAAGACCAAAGGCCAAGTGGTCCTTTGCAGGAGTTTAGACAGAATGGAACCTAAAGACATTACAGTTATTGATTATAGCTGGTTGTTTATGAGAGGTTCTATTTACAAGAGGTTGCTGAAAATGAAGGTTTGACTGTACAGTCAAATATAAACTCTACTTACTGGCACCTCCATAATACAGACACCAGTCACAAATGAAAAGTTTTTTTGGTCCCAACATACTAAACTTCATACTTGCACAATCCCCTTCTCTATAATACGGTCCTCTGTAATGTAAACACTTGACATAAAAGGAGGTTAACTGTACTTGTACCCCTTTCATAAAAAGCAATGCAAATTATGAAATGAATTGTCGCATTTTGTGAATCATTGTCTTACAGGTGGTCTTCAGCCAGTTGTGAGAAATCTTCGATATGTGTCCAATAATGTGAGCATCTCATTTGTATGGAATTCATTGCAACACACCCGATCAGTGTGCAATCAGAGACGCTTTCCTTTTGCGGCTATGTTGTTCCATCAACAACCAGGATCGACAGCACAGTCTCTTATTTTTACGGCTCTAAGAAATAAGACTTGTCCTAATCAAGAACTACAAGGATCTTTTGGTGCAAGATTCCTTCCCACCCTTAATCAATACCGACGAGGTAAAGCGAAAACTAAGAATGATATTTCTGAGAAATTTGTACCAAAAGAAAAGAAAATTCTTCTGGGTCCACAGAGAAAAGGAGTTTGTCTTAAGGTATTTACACGTAAACCAAAGAAACCCAATTCAGGAAACAGAAAGTGTGCGCTGTTGAAACTCAGTAATGGCAAGGTTATCACCGCGTATATTCCTGGTGAACGAGCCGTGTTGCAGGAACATGGAGTTGTGTTATTTGAGGGGGGAAGAGTTCAAGATTGCCCTGGGATAAAATATAAGATAATTAGACGCAAATATGACATGAATTAGCTTGGGTACTGACGTTGCTTTTGAAACTCGTGAAACAAATTGTGACTGAAACACTTTAAAATACTTCTTCTATTATTCATAAGTTGGAGTGTCGCTTCCGCTTTGGCCGACAAATTATGAGGCCATTAGAAAAAACAGGCTCGTACATGTACCACTAGAAACACTAATTTTAAGTAACACTCGTACTAGAGCTAGTTAACATACTAGTAGCCAATTGCTTGGTTTAAAATATAAAAAACGTTTCTTTGTCTTTGACCTCCTCATTTACGGTTGAATTTGTGCTTTTGTGAGGCATTTGTCATTTCATGTTCGGAAAGCTTAGATTTTAAACAATTGCCCTAATCCCCGAGAATAAGGCATAAAACTCACAATTGGGCCACCCCTTGCGGAGAAAAAAAAACATGGAGGCCGTTTTGAAAAGCAAAAAATTTCAGGAGTAACTCTCAGATTTCTTGCTTGAAGCGGTGGAAAAAATGACAAATTCCCCACTCCCGAGCAGGATATTGGTGGCGAAGAACGCACGACTTAGCACATGCCAGGAGGGATGGGGTGAGGATGGACACGCATTGAATTTCCCTTATCTTAATAACGTAAAAAGCCACTCTGCAAAATCTGTCATCCCTAAAACCCTTTGTAGAGTAGATGGGAATGACACATTTGAAGCGGAAATGCATTTGTAATGTTTTTAGAAAAGGTTCCTTGAGAAAGCGCTGGCACAATATTTTCTTGTCCTTTCTACGTGTATTGTTTTATATATTTATCCATTTGTTTGTTCATTTATTTGTTCTACGTTTACATCTTGTCTGTTCTGTGTATTGGGTTTCCCACTTAAAACTTTCGGTTTTCATAGGCTTTCGGGTCTTGTGACTGCACTCCCGTGACACTGAAATCCCTTGAGAATGTTTTCATGATATCCAATGAAAATAATAATACTAGACCGCGAGCGGTCGTCCTTCTTTGCTCAGAGCCACACACGGCGGGCAAAAAAGTAAAATTATGCAAATTAATAGCAAAAATGGAGGAGAGATTGGGGCTTTGCTCCGGCTCCGCCCTTGTTTCTCGGGGCTTCGCCGCTCGCCCCTCGCGCGTGCCCTCGTTTTTCGTGCTCGCATTCTATCGCGTCTCAAAAGAAAATAAGAGACTGCTCGCAGCCTATAATAATATAGAGCATCATCATGAAAATAAACTATTTACACAACTGTAGTTTCCCATCTAACGTACGTCTACTCAGCAGCTGTGAATTTAGAGTAAACAACAGCTTTGTTTCCCAGAATGTCATTTAAATAGAAACGCTCAAATTCCTCTTTTTCAGAAGGGAAATCATCAGTCGAGCTTTTCGCGTTATCGATTATCAAAAGAAGTTTCGCTTTCTCTGTCAGCAGTTTCCAAAACTTTGAACTTCCGCGTGAATTGAATTCGCGTAGAATTTCCTTTGTGCAGAACGACATCAGGATAACATCCGCTTCACTAAATTCGTTCAGAAAAGCTTCGTTTACCTCAAGGTGTTCAAAATCGAAGCCTAAACTGAGTAAATAATTCATCCATCCCAGCTCAACATCATATCCGGTCATTCGAGGCGATAGCTTCCCACGCGAGCTAAACGGAAAAGCTTCCGCCAGAAATGCTTTGAAGCCGTAAAGATCACAACCTGGGCCACATCCGAAGCTCGCCACCGTCTTGATACTCTTAAAGTAGTTTCTTGGAACAAAACCTTCTTCCATTACTTTTGCGAAAGCTCTTTTGGTAAGGTTAACTCGAGCGTCAAAAAGTTGCATAGTGTAGTAAGCTCGAAAGTTCTGGCTGGCATAACACATCGATCTCCAATTCCAATTGTTTTTAACTCCTTGGATATAAAGAACTTTGCCTTCACCTGGATTGTTAAGTTGTGCGTCCGCAAGCGTTGCTATAACTTCAGCTCCACTTGGTTTATTCTCTTGTTCTTTGGTCTCGATTATCATTTGTTTCTTTCTAACACAAGCCATCTTTGAAAGACCTCTCGTATGTGTGTCTTGACAGTGAAAAGTCTATTCTATTCTCCTATCTTGTCATTGAACAAACAACTGATATCGTTGCTCTTTTATACCTTTGTTCCGCTCTACAAAGTTGTTCGTGACACTTTCTGCGTCTGACTTCCGCTTTCTGATGTAAATTTGTGACCAGGGAAACTCTGTAACTCCCACATACGTTGTTCTTAAATGACGGATATTGTCCTAAGGCGACAGCTGATACAACAGTTTACCACAAAAGGATGTCATAACATCAAAATGATATTCTGTGGAACGTTGAGCGCTAATAATTACCTTCTAATTAAAGACTAAATGATTTCAAAATAAATATCAAAACTGATCAAAAAATGAATTAAGCATTTTTATATCATATTTGAACCATTTTGAACAGTCTTATCTGATAATGATAATTTATTTTTTTTAATATCATTAATTCTTAATTGTTCGATATCTTTTGAAGAGCATGATATTGCATAGTACGGACACGGTACATACCTTTGTCAGTTCTAATTTTATTCGCAAGAGTCATCGTTCTCACAACATCAATATGACTGATAAGACTGAAATCAAAATGAATGAACCCCCGAATTCAACGGGCTGTAACGCCAATACATAACATCCGTTAAGTTGTAATCCGGTAAGCGTCTTTATCCAAATTTAATCTCTTTTTTTGGATTGACTTTTATAGCTCAGTCTCTTGTTAGATAAACAGAAAGTTCTAAACGCCATTTAGTCCGTGCGCTTTCATATAATCGTTACACATGCCGTCCTTTACAAGCACGTATCCGTGCCTAACACTAGAGTCTTTCATCCTGCCTCCTGTTAATCATGGTAGAAGTCTCGGGAAAAAATGAGTTCGAAAACTGCAATCGCAATCAGAAAACCACAGTCTTTACTTGGTGGCAAACTGGGCCAGAGGCGTCAATTATGGGTTGTTCATGTATATATCAAGCTCACCAGGTCGAGCTCTGCTCGCGGTAATTGTGATAATGATATATTTCCTCAACGACTGTAAAAACACCAAAGATAACTGTCTCGGCTTTTCGCTGACTATTTGCAAAAATAATTTTTATTTTATTGTTTGTTTGCGCTACTGCGTATTAAATCTTTTATAACGCCTTCGACACGGGCAGTGTAGATGCACATAGAACGTTGACGTAGCATAGACTAATTAACTTGACTCTTTTGGATTTTAATCGATTTTTTAAAATTCATTTACTAGTATTATCAGTTTGATGAAAAGCTGCGATATTAGCTCTGCTATATTTTGGGAAGAAACGAAACAGTCCTGAACCCATAAAACCACACAAACGTCTAGCTTGTTTACATCTAAGACGCATGCATGAGCACAAACAATGATATTCAAGGTGAATGTGTTGCCTGCGTTTATGCTTAAAACAAGGCTTTATATATTCTGCGTAAGCACACGCCTTTCCTGGCTTTTCTCTTTTTATACCCAGCGATTCCGGTTCTCAGCGCGCAAAACCTTGGCGGAAAAGGTGTCTGTTATCTCGGGCCTTTAAAAAAATGTAAAACATAGATCACGTCATCATGGTGGGCTGTTTACAAAACTTCGGACGCCAAAAGGGTTGAACCCATGGGTTGAACCTGTCTACGTAGTCTTTGTTAGTTCTAATAAAAAGGTGCAGTGAGGTGACGTCAATGTTAAACGGTTAGTAAACAAATAAATGTCCTTTTTCAAATCAGGTCAAAATCATGAAGCTTGGGATGATGGGTCAAAGCATATTAGTTTTCAATATGCCATTGGCAGACCTTACTTTTGCGCCAAAATCCCGTCTATAATAATGAAATGGAAAGTTCCTTTTATGTTTTTTTTGCTGAACATTTGCAAAAGAATATGGTATTTTATTGCCAGTTTGTGCTTACTATGTACAGTGCCACCTCTATTAAGCGGACCCCCAATTAAGCGGACACTAAGCCGCGTCCCGAAATTAACGTCTTATATTTCCCTTTATAACAAACCCCTATTCAGCGGACACCTCTATTAAGCGGACGAGGACACTAAAATAAATTGTATTAGGCTAATTTCTATTGTTAAAAAACTCTATTAAGCGGACACCGGACTGAATTGACAATAGTAGTATTGGATTACGTCCTTGAAATACGTACTGTAGTGGATTAATGAAGATGAATCAATACATTTAGCTGTCAAAAGTTCTCCTAAAAGTCTTGTACAAAGTACGGCACAGCTTCCTTAGCTTCCTCAACAACATGGAACTTTATCACAGTACAGAGTAACCGTTGAACGAATATTGGGTAATTTTTACAAAACTCTATTAAGCAGACACCCTCTTTTAAGTGGACACTTGGGAAGGTCCCGAAGGTGTCCGCTTACGTTTCACTGTATTAAAGATACCGTAAAATTCCGAAAATAAGCCCCTCCATGTATAAGCCCCTCCAAATATAAGCCCCCCAAACAGGTAACGCAAAAAACCCTCCGTTAAATCGCCCCTCCAAATATAAGCCCCCAGGGGTTTGTACCTGGAAAATTTCCCTCAAATATAAAGTAAAACAAAGCAAAAACGGTAAATTTACTTCCAACTATAAGGCCAGCCCAATCGATTTTGAAACGCAAATTTCAGTCCATAGATAAGCCCTTCCAAAAATAAGCCCCTCGAAAAGGGCCATTGAAAAATATAAGCCCCGGGGCTTATTTTCGGAATTTTACGGTACAATATTTTTGTAAAATCCAACTAATGGTCTATTATCAATTCTGCATTCTTATTGGTTGAGCTACAACTAGGCTATATGTTATAGCCCACTAGTAGCAAAAAGCGCGGGCTTTGAACACCAAAACAATGGGGGCTGAATGGTAAGCTAGCTAAAATTGTTTTGTCACGATATTTTTGACCAACTAGTTGGATTTTACTAAAACAATTATTCCTCTCGCACTCATGGCCTCTGATGAGTCAATGGCCCATTTGGCCTTCGGCCTCATGGGCCATTGACTCATATAGCCCATTCGGGCTTGAGGAATGATTTTTAAAAATCTTGTTTCAAGCCTTCGACACAGACTTGAATCTTAGAATCTTGATCGATTTTAGTTTTAATTTATGAACTAGTATTAATCAGCCAGGTAGAAAGTGCGATATTACAGAGATTTAGAGGCCCGGTTACATCAACCGGAAAACGTCAGCCCGACTCAAGTTGAAAATTTTCCCGAAAAAAAGAAAATGAGCAGATGAAAACTGAGCGAACTAATTCTTTTGGATAAAACTTGTGTTAAAACTCCTCTTTTTTTTAGAAGTAATAAACGGTTAGCATTAGGTAACATCGGCTGAAGTCAGATTGTTTCTTTCAGTAAAATTACATGAAGAACAACTTAAGTCCAACTTTACTCTGTAATATAAAATGAAATAGAAAAAATCCACTGTAATTCTTTGAACCCGGGTCACTTGCTTTATAGCCTACATGCATATCCACTACACCATCGAGGACTACCTGCCAAATCCAATAATTTTTAAAATAAACATGTTCTTATGCCGTACCCTATTACAATATTTGAAACCTAACCGTTTTCACTGGCTCTCAATGGGGTGGTGGCTTTTACGGTTATCGGCTAAAATTTTGGCTGTTTTACGGCTATCGGTTAATTTTTTTCAGTTACGGTTAACGAGAAAGTTAAAAATTAACTTGTTTTGTTTCAAAAAGTTAAATATTAATTAACCCGTACTTTTTTTGTATCTAAATCCAAATAAAATTCTTAGGATCATCTCGGGATGAAATAAGGTATTCTTTTGAAAAATTTTAACATTTGATAGATTACACTTTTTATAAAGTATTCCACTTCTAATATTATTTTACACATAGAAACGTCACTAGTCAATTTAAAAATAATCTTTGTGAAAAAGCAAAAGCAGACACGCAAACGCCCAACTCAAGGGCGGGGCGCGACCTTCATTATAACAGAAATGGCCGTTTTCACACTAGAAAAGGATTATTCGCGTGAGACGGGTTATCCGTTTGATGATTCGCGTCAGATAGGCAATATGTCTTAATTTTAAAATGGAATAGTTTTAACTTTGAATGAACAATCCGCCTGACTTTTGAAGACGGGATTATCCGTTCCAGATAACCTGTGTACAGCCGCCCCCTCCTCCCAGAAAAAATCGGAGAAGGGGTGTCTATGGGGAAGGCGCGACTGTACACAGGCTAGTCTCAGACGGATGATCCATTTCTAGCTCTAGTGTTAAAACGGCCACTTATTATATAACAAAATCCCCATGTCCAGTGTTTTTAATGATAGCGAAGGACTGTACGGAACGTCTGTCTGCTGTTGCCTTGTCCGTAGGCCGCATTATTCCGCGCGGCTAATGCGTTTCGGGTCACGTGGTCCGAGCGAGTTCTCCACCGAAATGCCTTGACCGAGATTGCGTGGGAAGACGCCGTACAGGGACTAAGCATAATGTCTACCGTAGCGTCAAAGAAAAACAAGGAAATGTTGTTTATCATCAACGTGTTTAAAAAACAGTGACGTCTCTGCGAGTTGTTTCACTAGTGTTTCGAGGGCACGACCTCCAGAAAATTGCAAATATTAATCCCCAGCAAGAAGCCACACTTTCGCTATAGAAAAAATTAGTTCCCCGAGAGAGCGTCGGAAAAGGAGAAAGTCTTGGTTAACATCTAAAAGGCGCTTCGCCTAACGTGCGTACGGAGTCACACCAGTCGGGAAATAAAAAACGCAACCATAGGTGAGTTTAGCACCTTCCTTCAAAGTAGCAAATTTTTGTAGGTAACAATTTCTTTTACGGTTAACTCTTTTTTACCTCATTTACGGCTAACGGTTAAAATTTTTCAATTTTTACGGCTATCGACTAAATTTTTGGCCGTTTTACGCCTATCGGTTAACCCCATTGAGACCCTCTTTTCAGTTTAGTGCTTAACCCTATTCACTGCAGATCAGTGCCTAACTCTCTACTGTGTTCTCTCCATAACGGGCGCTCTGTAGTTTTGGTTTCTTCAGCTTCTACATTCCAGTCTCGTTCCGTTATGGAAATAATGGGTTGTGTAAAATTCATAAGGTGTCCAATCTGGCTTCACTCGATGTTATCTAACGCTAACCGTAATAAACAGTAAACGACAAGTAAAGGGAAAACTTGGTCACGTGGTACATATTCACGTGATTCTAAATCTCACGAACC